TAAAGAGACAGAGACCCAATTTCAAGGAGTTAAATCACAAAGTTAAATTCCTTTTAAGTTATATTTGGCATATATTGCATTTTTTATAACAACTAAAGGTAACATGATTGTGCTATAAAAATGTCATTACATTCCATGGAAAATACAAAATACTTCCCCAGCAGCTAAATAAATTAGGTTTCTTCTGATGATAGCATCTGTCCTCCATGCGAAAGCTAATTTTTCTTCAAAACACTTCTCCCTGATTTTAGCTGAAGTCCTGGTGGAGAAGAGGCAGCGCTCCAGCTTCACCACCAACTGCTTCAGAGGCCGGGGCGAAGACTATCGAGGCAAAGTCAACGAGACGGCGTCGGGCATCGCCTGTCAGCGGTGGGACGTCCAGGTTCCTCATCGGCATCCCTTCATCCCAAACATCTATGAGTGCAAGTAAGCACTGCGTCCATTTTAATGGCGGGGGCGGTATATTAGGATAATTAGTGCAAGTGCAGCTGCAGGGAATAACTTGCAGTCTTATTTCTCTGCTAACACTTGCTAGCAGGTTATTAGCATTTCGTGTTTTAAGTTTTCCTGAGACTTTTTGTTCAGCAACGATTTACTTAATTTCATTTAGTAAATGTTGTTCTCCAGTTATAGTGTCTTGTAAAAGCGATCACACAGGTTAAACACAAACTCCAATGTCCTTTATTGGGATTTTTAGTGATCGATCGACACAAAGTAGTGGATCATTGAAGGGAAATGTTACATCGTTTACTTTTGCCACCTTTACAACAAGTTTTTAACCTTCCCATCAACTATTCTTTCCACAACACGATGCTGCCATCACTGTGTTTTGCTGTGAACATGGTGTGTTCGGGTGGAAGTGCGTCATTAGCTTTAGCATTAAAACACAAACAGGTAGATTTAGGGAAAATGAATGATAAAACAAAGAAATGGCTGAAATGGACTGAAAAGATCTAAAACCAAAATGGATATAAATACCAATATTCAAGAGAAAGAAGAGAAGAATAGGATTAAAATGTATGGAAACACCGTATAGGCAATAATGATGAACTAAATGTAGCAAGACATGTTGAACCATAAGAAAAAGATCAAAGTACAAGCACTATTTTTTATTTTTGCCAGCAGTCTTTTTATTTCACTATTCTGTACTACTGTATGAATAAAATCCCAATAAAATATAGCAGACTGTGACTGTAACAGGAAAAATGTGAAAATATTTAAGATGTGAGAACACTTTTTGCCAGGCACTGTGCAAATTTGGTGGGCTGTCTAATTCTCTAAATTAACAGGATCATTGGTGTGCTAAACTGATTCTTGGTTACGTCTCGTCTAGGGGTCTAGAGGAGAACTACTGCCGTAACCCAGACGGTTCTGAGGCTCCCTGGTGTTTTACGTCGGTGCCAGAGATGAGGACTGTTCTCTGCCTGCAGATCAAACGCTGCGCTGACGACATAGAGGCCGAGGGTACGTCGCCTCGATTCAGAAATGATCTGAGAATAAATGCAGTGAAGGTCTCAATGCACTCCTCCGCTTCCATGACAATTTTATTTCACTTATAACTGGGGCTAAACAATAAATCAATAACAATATATACTGCAATAGACATGTGATCAATATCAACAGATAATACGTCTGATACAGGTTGATGAAAGTCTTTAAATGCTCCATCTCTCGCAGCCAGCTAAGCAAGGTTGATGGAATCAACTAACTCACTGTGCTGTTTGGTTGCCTGGCAACTCACTCGTTCTTTGGTTACCTAGCAACAGTGCAACAGTCTGTTGAGTAACTTTTGTAGCAGTTTAAGGTTTCACTCATTACTGCTTACAAATAATAAACAATTGCATGGAGTGAAAGCTATAAATAAAACTTGAAAGGTCATGCCACCAGTTTCGCAGTATTTCAGATATTTAAAACCAAAAAAACAAAAACAAATCAACAATAATCAATATCAACTAATATGAGACGCCTGGATCGTGATAGGTCGTTCAGTCATATCATCCAGCTCTACTTATGACAATAATCTTTTTATCTTCCCAGACTGCTACAATGAAAATGGGAAAAACTACAGAGGCGTCGTCCGCAAAACTCGCAAAGGCATCACCTGTCAGAAATGGAACGTGAACACACCTCATCAGACCAGGTGTGGTGACACTTTGGGGCATTTACACAAACAATCCGCAGTAAAAGACAACCTCCTCCTACAAAGCATTTGTGTGATTTTTATTTTTTTTAGGATAAACCCACGGACGCACCCGGATGCCAACCTGACGGAGAACTATTGTCGTAACCCAGACGGGGACCAACACGGGCCCTGGTGCTACACCACTGACCCCAAAACTGAGTTTGACTACTGCGCCATTAAACAGTGTGGTACTTACCTCTGCGTTTTGTGTGTTAAGTTTAAACTAGTTCAAGAAAACCATTTATCCAATCCTCTTTTTTTGTTACTTTAAATTTTTTTTTCTGTTGCTTTCAAACAGCTGGAGAGAAATTGCCACTGACAGAAACAGTAGGTTAGTTTGCAAATGAACATGGACAAAAAGCTGCTCAGAAGACGCTGCGGTTTTCTTGTGCGGTCACATTGTTTTCTTTTTGTGAACGCAGAGACGGTGGAGTTCAGCGAGTGCGGGAAGAGAGACGACCGTCCCCAGCCGACCAGGTTGCGTATCGTGAATGGAATCCCTGGGAACTCGCCGTGGACTGTGAGCCTCAGAGACAGGTCAGGCTGACAGCTGACGGCGTTTGGTGATGAACTATCAAAACAGTCTCTGTTGCGCTGTGAGTAACCTCTGACCTCTTTGTGTGCAGGAAAGGAAACCACTTCTGTGGAGGATCTCTGGTGAATCCCAGATGGGTGATCAGCACAAAGCAGTGCTTCTCCTCCTGGTAGTTCATTTAGGAAGATTTTACGCGTCAAACATGGAGCTGGGATAGCAAGCTAATTTTTAATGTATTTAATGTAAAATGGACAATGTAATAACAGTGAACATAGCTCAATTGAAGCGATAATGCCAATGAACAATGGTTAATTTATTAGTTAACATATAAATACATATCAGGTAGAAAAACCCTTTTTTTAGTCAGTGAGAGTGGTACACCAACCTTTACTTTTAGTTTATAAAAGTAAAGGTTGAGGACGGTCTCATCTCCTGTCCCTGAAGAAACAGCGACAAGAAAACTACAACTGTTTTTTGTTTGTTTTTTTAAGTTCTTGTCAGATTATTAACTTTGAAAATACAGAAAAGGAAAAGAAAATCTAACATTTTACTTCAGTTTGGTTTAAAAATGGCGTCCCTTTCTCGATGCATTCGTTAGCTGGACCTTGTATCCTAAGATAACTCAAACGACGATTGGCAGATGCAAAAAATAAAATTAAATAATCTTTTATTGTGGTAGTGTATTGTAACACAGAATTTTTTTTTTTTCAGAAAAATATAACCATTTATTTGTTGTATTTATACACAAGCACCGGCCTGTATGAGATTTATGATAAGCTTGGGTTACATTACGACCCTTTTGGTATTTACAGAAAAGATTTAAAACAAAAATGCATGACATGATGTTACTGTTTTATTTTAAACACTTAAGCAGCAGCCTTTTTGATGCTTGTCTTCATGTTTCTTTTTTTTTTTTTTGACAGCTATGTGGACCTTCCTGGGTACTCCGCCATGATGGGAACTCTTTTCCGGGACCCGCAGGAAGGAGAGCCTGGCGTGCAAACCATTCCTCTCACCAAGATTGTGTGTGGACCCTCTGAGTCTCAGCTGGTCATGCTGCAGCTGGAGTAGTGTGTATAATCGTGCATCAGGACACATCCTCACACACAACCACTTGCACATAATAGCTGCCAAAGTTTCTCCTTTGACTGTGCGTTCTTTCTGTCTCAAGTCCGGCCCAGTTCAACGAGCGCGTCTCTCAGATTTGCCTCCCTCCTGAGCGCTACATAGTGCCCGAGCACACAAAGTGTGAAATAGCCGGATGGGGTGAGACAAGAGGTAAGAGAGACTCTGGACTCTACGGATGCGCCTCCTGCAAAAGATTAAAACTTGAGGTTAAAGTAACGTTGCATGCAAATGAGAGAGAGAGCAAAATTTCTGCACCTTTCTAAGCGTACTGCTTGCTGTAGTTTTCTTGTCGCTGTTTCTTCAGGGACAGGAGATGAGACTGTCCTCAATGTTGCACACGTGCCGGTTATCAGCAACACTGAATGCAACAGATACTTCAGAGGTCGCGTTCGAGAAAATGAGATGTGCACAAACTCTTTTCAGGCTGGAGTTGGTGCCTGTGAGGTAGGTGTCTGCAGTGAACCTGTCGATGGCTGCCTTCTTCTTAGTACATGCAGTTTTCTTTATGTATACAGAAATAATGGAAACTATAAATACAATAAACACACTTTTTGACTATCATGCAAGCATTAAGCTGACCCCTTGTGGTAGCTCAGAGGTAGCAGTGTCTTCTCCTCAAAGCTTCAATGCACTTTGTTATGGTTTAAAGTGATAAACCAGCAGAGTGATTAATTGAAAAGAAAATACAACAAAGTTTTCAACTTTAACTACAAGTGAAAATTATACAAAGCATTTTATGCATTTGTAATCCAACCCCATGCACTTTGATGCCCCTAAATGAAATCCGGTGTCACCAACTGAAAACTTTAGTGAACAAACAGCATCATGGAGATCATGAGGTTGATTTTCTAGATGTTAAGTTTATTTTGTGGTTTAATTAAATAAACATTCCTTTTCTAATATTTCTTGCATCGTTATTGTCAATCTGTTGTGGAAATTCTGTGCAAAAATTACATTTAAAATACACTTGTGTTTTAAATTATCTTCTCTATTTAGAAACGGTGTTAAAAGCACTGTTGTTTTTTCTTTTTTTCTTTTTTTTTTTTTGGTGGGTTACGAGCCACTGTGAAGGGCCCAAAGAGCCAAATACTTAAACTCTGTTTTAGGTCAAGTAATAATATGTTCCCAGAGCTGTTGGGATGGCAGGGAGAGGAAATAAACCTTATGTTTACTACACACCAGCATATATAACACAGAACATTGGGCTTTGCCCACTGCCAAGCCCACAAGACAACCTAAACTCTTAGCATCTTCTTTAATTCTTACTAAAGTCTCCAATAGCCCTAAACAATTATATAACAGAAAAGAAGCACTAATAGAAATGTCACTCCAGAAAATAGAAGCTAATAAATAATGCTTTCCAAATCTTTCATAAAAAGTGACTAAATGTGAAAACTAAATACGAAACTGTTCCTTTGACAAGAAGTAAAGCATGTGAACTGCTGTAGATTAAATCCCCTCATACAGAAAAAACCCTGTTGATTTATCCTGTTTTGAGGAGAGAACATACAGCTATTTATAAGTTCCTATAAATCAAACACATCCACCATATGGCCAATGTAAGTGAACTGGCAAGATGTGACTGCAAGATGTTTCCCACCTCGGCAGTGACACTCAGTCATAACAGAGACAAATAATGACTCCGGAGTGTTGTTGCTGTGTGTCTGCAGAAAGACTACGGCGGCCCTCTGGCGTGTCAGAACGCCGACTGCTGGGTGCTGGAGGGCGTGATCATCCCCATGAGGCGCTGTGGACACCCGGGACAGCCCAACATTTTCATCCGCGTGTCTGTGTACGTAGACTGGATCAAGAAGGTCATGGAGATGGCTTAGCCGTCTAGGAACTGAGCAAACGCTTCAACATTCGCAAGAGATGCACATTTTTATTCTGTAAGCGGTTAAAACTTGTGCTAATCAAACCGTACAATTGAGGTTTATGTCCAGGGTTTTATAGCTAAGATGCCACAGTGTTAATGTTTACTGTAAACACAGTGTAATTTGTTTTTTTTTTTTTTTGTATCTGCTCTATGTTCTTTTATTGCACTTAAACTTGGAGATAATTCATTCTGAAAATGTTGGTGTTTGCTAACATTTTTTGCTATGCTTTACATTATGGACTCCTTACGTTTTAAAGGGCCAGTATTTTCAAGACATATAGTGGCATGTGATGGCACATTACTTTCAGCTGTTATAAAAATACTGCATATATCAAACACAACGTAAAAGAAATTTTGCTTCCTATTTTAATGCCTTCGAATTGGGCCTCTGTCTCTTTAAGAAGCTCTTGCTCTTTCTGAAACTCCGCCTTCAGGAAGTCATCACAACAACGTTCCCCCATTAACCCTTTAACAACATTTTTACCAGAGTTTGACTCAGAAGTTGCTCCTATGATGAACTGAGCAGATGCAGATCCATCTGGTGTTTGCTAATTGCTGCTGGCTAGTCTGAAGGAGCTGAGTGCTGCATCTTGAAACGAGGAGAAGCTGCAAGTACATATTGATCTGTTTTAAGGCATTCAATCCCTCCAGCAACATGTTTACTAACAGAAGTCGCTATGTGTGTTTTGGAGTAATTGTATGACAAAGGGACAGACAAAAGTGTAAGAGGTGAAATGTTCAATTTCTAACCACATTTTAGAGGAGCAGATGAGGCATTTCTGACTTTCCAAGTTGGAAATCCAACTTTTTGGTGCGTCCTCTGGGATTTTTCAGTCCTTCAGAGTCAAATTTGTATAGAAATGTATAATATGCTAATGCATACATCTCCATGATTAATTTAAGTACATCTACACTCTGACTCCTGCTCTAATAAATATTCTTCCTGATAATAACTACTGTTTTTTAAAGTTATATAATGTAGCCTCATGCCAAATATGAAAAGATAATTAACAAAAAAAAGGGTTTGAAACAAGAACAGCACCTTGAACATGGTATTGTCTTTTATTGAGATTTTGTTTGATAGACCAACACAAAGCTTCACACTTGGTTTGTACAATATTACTGCAAACTAAAATCTAAAATGTTTGGCTCAAAACCTTCAATCAGCTTTCACTGCAATCACGGCGACAAATCTTTTCAGGTATTTTTACCAGCTTGGTAAATTTAGAGACTGAAATTTGTCCTCATGCTTCTTTGCAAAATGGTTGAAGCTCCGTCAGATTAAAAAAGAACAAATTTGTGAATTTTAGGTTTCGATTGGGTCTCAGCCACTTTTACACGTCAATATGTTTGTAGCTAAACCATTTAATTGTTGCTATAAGATTAAGATTTCTGTCTTGCTGGAAGGTGAAGCTATTAGCAGGTTTTCATCAAGGATTTTCTTATGTTTATCTCCATCCATCCCCAAAGAAAAATATCCCCCCAGCATGATGCTGCCTCCACCATATTTTACTGGAGGGAGGGGATATCAGTCGTCCGCCTGCCCCTTGCAAGAACAAGCTGGTATAGACGATGGATGAATACATATCCACACCGAAAATCATTTTCTTTACACTTTCAAATTCCCCATTACAACATCCCAGTAAAGTTAAAGAGGTGTGAATACCAAATGAGTTGTTTCCCATCTGGGTGAGATAAGACGCACCGCAAGAGAAGAGTTTTAAAGATCCAAACGTTCACCCCCTCCCTGTAAGTACTCCCATTACTACAAAACTGTACGCCTCCCCCTGTCTCGCCTTGGCATTGAGTGGGAGCTCCAAAATACATTCTTTGCCCCCAGCCTCTAAAAAGAAATCCCTCCTCTGCCTGTCTTTTGATGCCTGCCCCCACCTCCAAAGACATGCCTTTGTGCCTTATGCAGAACTGTATGCGCTGCACATTCTTTCTAGTTCTATAGGAGGATTTTTGTAACCCGGTCCTGATGAGCCCACGGAATTCAGCTTAAATAAACCTCAAGATCAGAGTCCGACCAAATCTCCGACTGCAGAGGGCCACTGAACTCTCACACGTGGACACGCTACAAAAAAAAAAAAAAAAAAAAAAGCCCCCTGCAGTGTCTTCCTCTTGTTGGTTTTGGCACCAACGTTTTACCTGTGCATACGACAACTTTGTTTTGTTTTTTTTCTGCACAAGCAGAAACTAATAGAGGCTTATTGTGGACGTTGATGGGTGATTTCTCTTCACTTTCACTTAGTAATATGTAAAGATGATGACAGGTCCAGTTCTTAAATGAGTACAAGTTCTCAGCAGCACTTGCAGAAGCTTCTGGTAACACTGACTGAAATGCTGAGAAAAACTGCCACAAAAATATGCAAATGTTTTCCTCGTTACTCTGCTTTTTGCTAAAATAACTTGAGAAGTCCCGTGTATTATTAGTGAGTTAAACGCTTTACCGTATTGGTTTCTGACTGAATGTAACGTTGTGTAATATTGTGGTTTCACTGGATATTCATTCTGGGTATTTCAGAATTACATCATGAAACTGTCACTGCCGTGGTTCCAGCTCAGCGGTGGGCTCCATCTTTTGTAACGTACAGCTTTATGTCCTGGGCTCTTGCCAGCAGGCTCACCTGACATGACTCCACTAGAGGTCCAGCATTAGCCGCCGCCGGAATGTGAGCTGCAAACTCTTTTCATCTGAATTCATCACCTTGTATAAACTTCCACATGAAGCTGAAGGAAAACGAGTGAACTTTGCTGTTTGGTTCAAGATAGCTCCAAAATAGATCAAATAAAATGTTTTAATATGTTTAAAAACACTGTTAAGTGCTGTAGAAATCTTGTCTTGGAGCACACATGCGTATTCAGCTCCCTTTGCTTGGATTCTCTAAATTAAAATGCAACTAATATGATGATGATGTCATAATAATTATTGATATTGACAATTATTGATTCGCTTTTTGTTTTATTTATTTATTTATTTTTAAATACTGCCAAACTGGTGGCGTGACCACAGTTTTCTTTGTTGTTGTTATTTTTAAGCCGTTGTGTGGCACAGAAGCAAAACCTGAAACTGCTGCCAGTTACTCAACGGGTTGTTGCTAGGTAACCAAAGAATGACTGAGTTGCTAGGTAACCAAGGAATGAGTGAGTTAGTTGATCCACCAACCTTGTTTAGCTTGCTGTGAGCGGTTGATCCACCAAAGCTTTTCCTCTGCCTACATCCCCCAGAATGCTGTGCGGTTTTGGGTCAGAATATTTTATTGAATATTGAATAATCTGTCAGATTTATTATTATTGATTTTTTATTTTTTTTCTTGTCGAGCTCCATGTAAACATAGCCTGAGAGAGGACTCTGTTCACTAAAATATCAGAAAATAAAAACAGCAGTGCACAACTGCAAAAGTTTTGGTGCACCTAAACTGACAGACCAGGTGGGGAAAAAAATAATCAGAGAAGCATCCAAGATGCTAATAGTAACTTTGGAGAAGGTGTAGAGATGCACAACTCAGATAATTATTCATTTTGAACTCCACAAATCTAAAAAATGTACAAAAGAGCGGCAACAAAACAGAGGAAAACATGTGGAAGACGTTCCTCTGGCAGCTGCAGCTGAAGGTGATTCTCCAGAGTACTGACTCAGAGGTGTTGGATACGTTCTTACACGCCACACTTTTCAGTTTTTTTTTTTTTTTTTAATAAGGAAATTGTAAACCATGCGTCATTTTTCTTCCACTTAACAATTATGTGCTACTTCCATGCAGATCTCGCACTAAATACACTGAAGTTTGTGCTTGTAACATGACAGAATGTGGAAATGTTCAAGACTTCTTCAACACTTGTTTGCAGAACAAGTGATTAAATAAAGCACGCATTCTGTATTTCCCCCCTCTAAACAATAGCACAACAGTTTACAGCCTCAGCAGATTAGGTTCCCATGAAGCCCTTTGATATAGCGGCCCTTTATGACTTACAAGGTTAGTGATACTGTGTATCTCTGGCCATGTAGGTGGGGAGATAACAGCAGGGAAAGTGAGTGAAACTCTCTGCTTGAAACTGTGCAGACTGTCTGCTCTCACTATGAAGCAAACTGAACCTTTTCCCTCCCTTCTTCTTTTTTTTTTGTGGGGGGGGGGTAGTGGAGGGGGGGGGGGCTTCCCAGCCTCCCCCACTTCTTCTTCTTTTTCTGTTTTTTCCTTGTGAACCCCGGAACCAGACCCTCTAGTCTGGTAATACCCCTGTCTTCTTTCCCCCTCTCAAGTGGGTGGTCCGGTGGAGCAGCCCTTGGGGCGGGGTCCTCTGTTTTCAACCCTCCTACCCCCGTTCTTTCTTGAAACATGCTTTAATAGAGAAAGTATGCAATGCATACTGCTCTGGTGCAACCCCCCACTATACTGCATCTGGGGTATTCGTGACTGGACGTCTGGGGGATCACACACATTTCCGATTAGGAAGGAGAGAGAGAGGGAGAGAGAGAGAGAGAGAGAGAGAGAGAAACAGAGAGAGAGAGGGAGAGAGAGAGAGATTACCATTTCAATCCAGCCAATGAGACAGGCGATACACTAAGATTTTCATAGTTGTGCAGGAGCACAAAGTGAGCGGAGTGTGTGTGAACTTCCAGGTAAAGCTGCAAGCCGACCTAAGGTAAGGATCAACTTCCTCTGCTCCCCCCTCTGTCCGCCTCAGTGTGTGTGGCTGCATGACTCCTCAGCCCGAACATGGAGCCTATATATCTGCATACATGCAGGCTCTGAAAGGAGAGATTTTGCACCTGTGTTTCTTTGCCTTTTGTCCCATGGAAAGTTGTTCTTTTTTCGTCTGTCTCTTTAGCGCGACATTTCCCCAATTTTCTCCCCCCATGTAGACTTGCTGTGTTATCGCTCCTAAAAAACAAACACACTTTAGAGAGAGAGAGGGAGAGAGAGAGAGATGGGTTGCGCAAGTGATGGAAGCAGGGGGATGTTGTCGACTTTCTGCCTTTTAAAATAAATAAAAAAAAAATTTAAGAAGAAAGGAGACGTAAAAGCCGATGGCTTCTACTTGTTATTTTGGCGTCAGCATGCGCCAGCTACTCAACAGGGGATTCGCCTTGTTTCCTACTGTCGAGTTCGGCTTTTAGTGTGTATTTCTGCTCACTGTGGTACTGCCGCCCATATGCAGAAAGTACATTCAGTCCCGTACTGGAGAGCCAAACACCGAGCGGTCTGAGTGAACGCTGCGCCGCCGATCACATCACGTCAGATCGGCGCGTACTGTTGTTGTTGTTGTTCCGAGAAGTGAGTTTTGCGAACGACGAAGCGACGTCGTGCGTCTCGTTTGGCTTTAAATTCGTCCAGCGAGGACGCATTTCTCGAATTACTCCGACTTCCTGCTTCGGTGCGGCCGTTTTGATAGGCTGTGATGGCAATTAGCGTTTGGCATATTCCTCACAGAGCCAGGCTCTGAGTGAATGACCACCTTGGGACACCTAGTTTCTGCGAGATATATGGCTCCCATTCGGATTTTCCTGTTACCGAAAACTTTATAAATCCCTGCAAATAAAGTTGTTATAGGTTACATAACACAAGGACGCATTGTTCACTATATCACTGCATGCTGGAGATAATAATAATAATAATAATAATAATAATAAAGCTCCAGACTGAGCTGTTTTGAAATGTTTTGATAATTAAGTTATCCAACAGTTTCTAAAAGGAAACGGGCCATTTAAAGCAAACAAAACATTGTGATATTTATTTTTGAATACTGAAATCACGATGCTGGTGCAATAAACCCTAACCATTACTTCAAAGTTCAAAATATTTTTTCATAAAATATGGATTCAAGACAGAAACCAATGAGCTTTAAATAGTTGCATTAATTGTTTAACTAATTTTTTTATGTCAGTTTTCCTTTTTTTCATAGGAAGCCCTTATAAATAAAAGCAGCACATGAGTATTTAGTTATCCTGAACAATGTTTATTCATTTATTTATCTTATTTAATGAACTCATATGTCGTCTCACTGTAAACATGTCTGATTTATTTAATCAAAATCAATCCAATCAGATTCAAATTCAGCTACATACATTTTGGTTGAACTCAAGAAATTTCAACAGCAGCTTTGGGTTTTTTGTGCCAGTCCAAGATTGTTAGTGGTTCCCTTTTGGTCTTCCCTTTCAAAACTTCCTGGATGTTCCCGCTCTACTTCCTTTTTCATCATCTCAACATTCCCATAATTCCCTGCAAGCTTTAGCATCCTTGTCACTAGAACTTCCTTCAGGTGTATGCATCGAGGGAGGTATAAATCTGTCCAGCTCACCAAATGTAAGTTTGGCACTTCAAATGTTATAATCAATTGGTTTCAAGCGCTTGTTTGCAATTGCAATTCTGCAGACTTTGTTATTAATATGACTTTATAAAGGATCATATTCAGCTGCTGAAGTTTCAAGGAGGTCACCATTTTCTGTTATTTATTAAATCCCTGTAATATGCTTCTCATTGTTTACCATATTAATACAAGCTGGTGGGAATGCATGACACTAAGCTAGTATTGGCTCATAATATATTAATTAGTTGTTTGTTAGTTATGCTTTAATGCAGTCACTCATTTTAAAGCTTTCTGCATGCACCTCTGCTCTTCACTTTGTTTTCTTGAGCACATCATGTTAATTTCAGTCATTATTGTTTTATCAATATGAGAAATGTTTCAGCTATAAATGGCTGTGCGGACGCAATATTTGGAATATTTCTAGGACCGTCCATTAAAAGTTTACTTTGCAATAAAATATTTGGTTATGTGGGTAAACGTTTACTGTCCGTTATGCCAACACCTGCAGACTCTGTATTTGCTGATGCTGCTAGATTTCAGTGACCAGGACTGATAGTGGAGACACATTGTGATAGTGGAAAAGAAGGAAAAGAGAGAGAGGAAAATGTGGTCTAATCTGAATCAGCATCATCATCACAATTTTCCAATCACTCTTTTTGATCTTCAGCAGCTTGGTCACTAACATCCATTTCAGGTGATGGCAACAAGAGACATAGATGTCCATCCAGTTGATCAAATATGCAATTTTCATGGCATTTGAAATGTAATAATGTCCCACATATCTGACCCCAACATTCCTTTACATTGGCAGTATAAGAAACATTGACATTGCCTTTATTATTACAATTCAATGCTTTACATAAATCCCAAACCAGTGTCAGAAACTAAAATAAAACAATCATTAAAGTTGTCCACATAATAACAAAACGGATCAGTCACAGCAGTCCCAAACACGCTTTGGTCTGGTTGTTTCTCAGTTTTGTGTATTCGCCAGTAGGTTTGTTTGTTTTCTTTCTTCCTCCTGTCTGCGTATTTGTGTGTCACTGCCACAGCTGTAAGTTAACCTGCAGCAACTTTCGCTTCTTTCCCACCGAGAATCAGCTGGACAGGCAGACATCAGTGCAATAGATGCAGATCTTGAATGGCAGATTGAGTTGTGAATATCTGTGCTACTTTTAGTCTCTGCACACCATTCTCATGTTTCTCAACATTTGCCAGAGTCTATGTTCCGATGGTCCCAGTGCCAAGGCTTGAGCATGAGTGGTTCCCACAGTTGCTCTTGGAAAAACTTCCTGCATGGTTCTCAATTATACTTGTTATTATACAGTCATCTCTTATTTAAACACCTTTGTCTGAAACCTCTCAAAAAGTAGACGATTGAAAGTGCTAATATTTGAATAAGCAATTTGGCAAAGGTTGTTGCATCGCTTCATTATATTCAGTTTGTTATTTCGTCTTGTTCTGCTATTAAAAGTCACTTCTTTCCCCTGGTAAAGCCCCAGAGGCCTCTGCTCCAGGCTTTGATGCCAACACCCTCTAAAGCAGGTGGACAGACGCAGGAATGAGCGACAGCGGGACCAAAGACCCGTCTCCTCAGTCGAGCACAGCCCAGTCGCCTGAGGAGCCCCAGCGCAGGGGTCGGGGTCGACCTCGGAAACAGCAGCAGGTAAAGCTTCAGAGGCTGCACTCGCCTCCAAAACCTGTAGTATTTAGCTTTACGTTATAGCTGAATTGGCTTTTTTTTGTAGAGAGTGGGTAGAAAATGCATTTTTGATTGGTTGAGAATGTGATCTCTCTCCAAAGGAGCCAGTTGGACCACCGACCCCAAAGAGGCCGAGAGGACGACCAAAAGGCAGCAAGAGCAAAGGCCCCAGAACTGCACTGAAGGTCAAAACTCACCACAACACTTTCATATTTATACACAACTATGTACCGATGACGTCAAAAGATCAACAACGTTTTTTTCTTTACCAAGAAAGTATTAATCTGTAAACTCAGACGTTTGTAAATAGTTCAGAAACCGATGGTGAAATCATGCATGTGATGACAGTCGCTGTAGTTTTTGACATGGAATAGAAATACTTGCATTTTGTCACGTAACACAGAGGGAACGGGCGATTTTTCTCGTTTTCTGTTTTCAGTGCATCTGGATCAGTTACAAAACTGCAATAAATATTTCACCTTACAAAAGTAGAAAAAACAAACTCATACAAAATCAGTTATCTGTTTGAATCTGGTCTGTATTTTCAGCCACTTGCTGATGGACTCTGCAGGATGAAATGATTGGAAGTCTTAGTCATCATTTTCTTGTGAGTCGTTTCAGCTTGTGGCCTTCATCAGGATTGTCTGAAGGGCAGAAGTGACTGGCCTACAAATAAAAAAATGTTTCCTACCACTTCATATGTTGCTGGGATCTTCAGCTTAGCAGATCTTAGACCTTCTCCACACATCTTTGGAGTCAGTGAAGGTGTACCAGAAACTTTCCCCAATCCTATCCACACCAGCTGAATCAATAAAATGTAATAACTAAATTATTGCAGGAAGTATATGCATATAATTCTATATATATCTATATCTATATCCATAGATATAGATATAGATATATATAATATGAGCTGGTTTAAGTGAAAGCAGCCTTTTTCTTCTTCATTCGAGTCGAATGATTTCCAGATTATCAGTGGCCGTCCTTAATAATCTGGACAGAGTATCCCTGGTAATCCACTCAGTCAGACACAGGAGCCAACGTCCTGGAGACGTTGGACAAGAAATAAAATCATTTAAGATTCAGATTCATGTAAGAGATACATGCAACGAGAGATGATACAGTAATACTTTTCAAAAATAATTAGTACAAAAACGTGCTCTGAAACTTCAACATGTGACAATATGGTATCAGTGTCAAAAGTGTTTAAGGTTTCAGAACTCTGTTTTTAAGACAGAAACTCCATAAACATTATTGTAAGTGTCTTTTGCATCTATTAATGAATTTAATAAGAAAAGATTAAAAATGTTTATTTTATCAATGCTACTAACCAAAAACTAAAGTGATCCAGGAAACAGATAGAGACAAACATAATTGCGTATCATCTCTTCACTGTTCTTTAAAGCTTCTGTGTAAGGGAACACATTGACTTAAAGGACAGAAGCCCAGGATTGAACCTTGGGGGACTCCATAGATAAATGACAAATGACAAATTTGGCCAAAGCGCAACAAATGCTACCATTCGGTTAACAATAACGTAAAAAAAAACTTGTATTGCTGTCAGGACAGTGTTACCTGTTCAGTGTGATCCCACTGTTGACTTTAAGAACTGCTGAAGACCAGATAGAAATAACCCAATTAACAAAGCAATTATTTTCTGAAAAAAAATCTCACACCTGATTGCTAACTTGTAAATATCCAGATATTAATTGATTTGCTGATAAATGCTAATAAATCCTGTTATAGTTCACTTTGAACGCTTTTGGAAGCTGTCATATAAATAGATGCAAATGCTGAGCTTCTGTTTAAAACCTTCCTTTCACATCTCTGAACCGTGTTAAAAGGTAGAACTGTAGCTTAAAACAAGTTTTTTTCTGCTTTATGGATGAGTTTTGCTGAGTTGCACTTATTAAACCTCCAGTGAATAAACTAGTTTGTTGTGCATCAGTGGCTCTGAGGTAGCAATTATTGCCAGTCAATTTAGCTTCTAAAACTTGTTAAAACACAGCAGATTGAGGTATTTAGTGGATGCAATTAGACATGCCGGTCACACAAATCCATCTTTCTGTGGAAAGTTCAGTTAGAGAAAACATCAACATGAGTTCACGAAGGTTTTACTGTTTGATTAGATGAAATCTTTTTAACCTGTGGAGTTGTTTACATCAAGGTAAGCGCATCTCTAGCACTCGAAATCTGTGCAGGTGCTCTAGATGTCGACATGCTGAGGAGGGATTTGGCAAATTACTTTGGCTCAGTATCAATGCAGCTCTTTACATTCAGGAAGCAGAAGATTGCATATTCCAAAAGTTAGCTCTGCATAAAGCCTCCTGGGAGGAATGTGAATACAGTAGCATGTAATCTAAACTTTTTCCACCACTGATTTGGTTTCTCCTCAGAAAGTAGAGCCTGTTGGCCAGAGGCGACCACGAGGGCGACCGAGAAAATGGGTATGGCGTTCTCACTGGCCCATATGGATCAACTGAAAAATGTGCAGGTTTTTGCAAAAGTACTCAGACCCTTTGAACTTTTTCACACTTTTAAAGATCCAACCACACACTTTTAGCTCTAGTGGCCTTTACTGAACTGTAAACTGGCAGGAAACAGGGTGAAGAGAGAGAGAGGGGGGGAAGACATGCAGTAAATGTCCCGGATCATGAATCGAACGCAGGACGACCGCGTCACGGACGGTGGCCTCTGCACATGGTGCACGGTCTCTGCCAACTGGACCGCCCAGTGCCCCCACCTTTTCAGAATTTTACTGGGATTTTATGCAGTGGACCAACATAAAGTGATTTGGAATTGTGAAACGGAAAGAAATTATACATAGTCTTCTAAGTTTTTTTAATAATAAATATCTAAAAGGTGTGGAATCCATTTGTTCTCATCCTCTGAGTCAATACTTTGTGGAGCCACCTTAAAGGTTAAAGGGAATGTCTTTACCAGCTTTAGACAATTAACATTTAGACCATTCATCCTTTCAAATCAGCCCAGTGAAGTTAATCTGTCAACTGGGTTTGATTGGAACTTTGATTGGGATATTTTAACACTTGAATATGTATTAATCTAGTTGTCCTGATATATGGGGACTCATAGGATCTAACAGATTTTATTTTAGGATAGACCTATATTTGGCCCAATCCAACTTTTCCAACCAGGCTGTCTTTCCTTGTTAATGAGAATTATCCCCACATCACAATTCAGCCACTACCATATTTTGCCATGGGGGTGAGCTTTGCTAGTTTTATGCTACACAGTGTTTTCTACAGTGACTTTCTTCTTGCCGCTCTTCCATAAAAGCTAGATTTGTGTCGATTTCCCAGATGAATAGTGGATCTTTGTAGTATTCCCTCTTTCTTTCTTACTGACTATGTGACTTTTAAATGCCTATAGTTGCACTGGATTGTGTCTAGATGTTCACTGCACTGCTTCAAAAAAATCTTCAGATAAAATCCAAATAATTAAAATCAAAGTTTGTGGTTGAAAGTCCAAGGGGTAGGAATGCTTTTGCAATACATTTTGTGTCTAAAGCTTTTGTGTGTGTGTGTGTGTGGGTGTGTGCGTGTGTGTGTGTGCTGGAGCTGTTCAGTATGAAACTCTCATTTTCCATCAGTCTTTAATGGCTTCTACTGTCTTGTGTTTTATGTTTTGTTTTACAGCCCCGGAAAGTTGTTCCAGAAGTGACTGAAGAGCAGCAGGTGAGGAAAATGAAAAGGTGTAGCACGGTGGTCTAGTTTTGTTTTAATGCAGCTCTTTAAGGCATTAAAGCCTAGCTGTTTGGCAAAAATAATAAAATAATAATAATAACCTCTCTCCCCCTCTAATATATAACATTTTCAGTATGTTTGCTCTTCATTACTGAGGCCTCAACCCATACATACCCTTTAGTAAACTCGTCTTTGACTGCAGCTGCACCAAGTTGCATTTCAGCATATTTTTTTGTTGCCACTCTTTTATAGTCTAACTTACATCTACAATCAGATCAAACTAAAGGTGGAGAGAGTTTTTGAGAGTGCCGCCTCACTTAAACAGAAATTTCATTCTGTGTCACACGTCTGCCTTTTGACTGGTGCCAGTTTGCAAGTCTTCTTGTGTCAAGCTTTGATCACATTTAAACCTACATTCAGCTGCAGAGTCACTACGTTCTGCGAATCCACAGCCGTGCTCTGTAAAGGTACAATCTGATCTACAAGCTGTTACAGTAAATACGTGTCAGAGGTAGTTAGTGATCAGACTACTCCTTAGATGTTTAGCGTAACTGCAGCATCTCTGGAGGAAGAAAAAAACGCTCAACTGGAAACAGATATTTACATGTGCAGCTTATAAAGACGCAACTTTTTTTTCTTACCGTTTGGCATTAAGTCAGTCAAAACTTTTTCCCTGTTTATGTCAGGACTTGCAAAGTTATTTCTGTTCCCTAAATGCCAGAAAAATGATAGACATTTCTAAAGAGACGTTTATATTTGTGTCATTTGTGGTTGTTGAAATCGGCTTTTCCTTCCTCAAGCTTCTCACAATAGATTTATGTGTGATTTGGGCCCGTTCCACCTGGCTGACACGATGGGACTTGGTCAGACTCACGAACACGCTCTGCGATGGCCGCTCCATCCTTAAGCCACTTCGTCTCTAATTTGGTGGCATGCTTAGGGTCATTGATCCCGTTGGAAGATGCTTTACCCCCAAGCTTTCTCAGATGTCTTGTGATGTGCTTCAATATTTCCACGTCATGTATTTTATAAAGTTCACCAGTCCTTTCTTTGTCAGAAAAAAAAAAAAAAAAATCATAATGTTGTTAGATTCCCTGCATCCCGGAGTTTGGGATGTTGTTCTCAAATTTGCAAGTTTCCATTTTCTTTCCTCCAAAGGTTTTGATGCTTTTGCTTCTTCAAGGTCATTTCTCCAAAAACTGCAGCTTTTGTGCAGGCTGCTGTCTGGCTTTCTGTGTTGCTTTTGGAGTATCGGCTTCTTCCTTTCAGCCCAACTAGATACAGGACTGATCTCTCTGTCCATAATGGCTCTCTTACCATCTTCACCCAGCATCTTCACAAGATCTTTTATTTATGTCCTGCGGTTCATGCAAGCTGATTTCATACAAGAAAACATGTTGATCTCAGGGAAAGAGAACCCATCTTCTTCCTAAATGTTATTATGGCTGGACATTGCCATGCTCCCTTTTATAACTGAATGTTGCATCTAGATATTGGCAGACATCTTCTTGTTTGTCATTAAACTTTGATTAATTTAATGCCAGACACTAAGAAAAAAGGCTATGCAAATATCTGGCTACGATTATTTGGGGTTTTTTTTATAACAAAACATAAAAATACTTAAAGTATTGCATCTAGAAGTATTTTAAATAAATACATAGTATGCATAATAGATCAAGTGCATAAGATGCACTGTAGCGATAGAGAATCAAATGATAAGTTATGAAAGTAGGCTGTCGTTTGGCCCATCTGATTCATATCATTTCACTTTAAACATAATACTAATACAGAAAAATGAGTAGTCATGATATGATTGCTGAGACTAGAACACAAACCTGTCTTCACAATTTGAATATTAGCTTTCCTTTTTTTTTAAATGTGATACTTCGAGTCATTTAATTGCTCATTGATTTAATCATTTAAGAATTTTAGAGGTTTTAAAAAAATCACCTTTTGGGGGAAATCTTATGCTGACATTTTTGGAAATCTCCAGTCTGATCTGTGTTAAGACATTGTTACTGCATTTATAAATGTTTTGATTTTGACACAAAGACAAACATGTCACATGTTGTGTTTTTTAAGTGCTTATTCTGCAGATTCTGTATTTGCCGCTCTGCATTATTAGCTGAGATTAGCTGGTTAATCAGTCAGTCTGTGTGCTCTGTTAGAGCCTTGGCCAACTCTAGTTTTAAAACAGCTTTACCTTCATAAGTGTGGTAAAACTTTTAGTTTCCACGCTGCGTTTTATGGCTGTATTTGTTTTTCCTTTGGGCGAGGAAAAAGTGTAGTAGCTAGCAACAGGTGGGAGAGGGGCAATACTCTGAAACTCTGTGCTCTATGTAGTGAAATAAAACTTTTACATTTTTGTGTTTTATCTAATGAAGAGGAGAAGATGGCAGAAGGTTTAAGTAGTTTAGAAACAGCAGCTTGGTGTTCCTCAATAACGGTAACTGGTTCATGACTGGTTTCAGCAAAAAAAAGAGCTTGGTTAAATGTCAGTGGTTAGGCTGGGGTTTAGGTCTAATGTCTACCACTAATTTAAAAACCTTAAAAAATGCTGTAATCATCCCTCAATATTCAGCGGTTCAATTGAAGAACATTATCAAGTAAATCTTTGTAGAATGACTGGAAACGTCGTGCTGATCCGGAAACATCTCCCTCAAATCCTGATACTGGAAGACAGGAAAAATGCGCCTGGGCTTTTTATCCATTAAGCCACCAGGAGCCTCAGGTTGTTGCATTACAATGATTAAAGCGTCAAAAAGTCACCTGTTAACCAGACTCGCATGTTAGTTAACAGTTTACTTGTTAATAGTTAATAGTCTGGGTTCATCTCACTTCCCTCTGAAACTGCTCCGAAGCAGAGGCGGATGAAGAGGCAGATCGTCTCTCCTGTGGGATTTTTGTTAATCTCCTGCCATCTGCTTCAGGGCATCACCCTGTAATACATCTTCACTCATGTTTTATGCTGTGTGTTTGGGTTATTTTATAATAAAGATAAGGGCATGTATAAATGTCACAACATTTCATCGACTTTCTAGTTTTACTGATCATTTTGGGCAAGAAGGTTTTCCAAGGGTGACCAGATAAGTCTAATAATCTTTTGGTGACTCTTCCTATTGAGAATAAAAGTGGTTCATAAATATAAATGACTTAAAAAAATAAAAGAATGTTGACATTTATTGAGACATTCTCTCTATCGTCTTAGATTTTACTATGAATACAGAAAAAAACTAAGAGCCCACTGCATTGAAAACCTCCTGGTTGTTTCACCAAATGTTGATTTCTGAACTCGTCCTGAGTTAAAACATCAGTATTGTTGTTTCTAAATGTATGTGAACTTGTTTTCTTTGCATCATTTGAGGTCTGAAAGCACTGCGTCTTTTTGATTATTTTGACCATTTTTCATTTTCTGCAGATAAATACAACATTTTTGCTTGGAGTTTTGGAGACTTGTTGTCAGTCGTTCATAGAAGCTAATTTTACTCAAATATTACATATAAAGAGTAAAATCAGAGAAACTGGTCATTTTAAGTGGTTTTTCCAGAGCTGTATGTCTATGCTAGTGTCATGCTGTTTGGGTTAATCAGCACTAGTAAAACCAGACATAGCCTTGTTTTAGCTATACAAGTTTTGAAAGTTGCTTGCTAATTAATTGTTTGTCACATAAAGTGTTGTTTTTACCTGAACTCATGTAGAAAGATCAGAAAAAAAAGGTCAACAAAAATTAGCCTACTCTTCATTTCACCTTTAAACTTGGATGTTTGGGATATCTTTAATTTACTTTTTTTAAGCTTAGCAAAAAAGTGAAAAACAACTAAATTAGTAGATGTATGAATATCCAAAAGTGAAGCAGCAAATTATAAATGCAAAAAAAAGTTTTCAAAACTTGTTTTAAGTAAAAAATAAAAAAATATATAATTATATGATTGGGTTTTTTTTTACTTTCCATTCCCCAGACCCGTGACAGTTTCAAAAGTTAAAATTAATCACCCCTAATATTAAAAATGCAGGAAGCGTTGTCCGTTTTTTGCACACAAGCACAACTTTCAGTAAGTCGTCTCTGCACAAGCTTCGTTGTTTTTTTGTTTTCTTTCTTCTGAACTGACTTCATGCTGATGTGGCGAATTCTTGGAAATTAACAGACTCTGGTGCCGAATTCCCCACATGGCATAAAGATCCTTTGGTCTCATCCACCTTTGGAGCGTTTCTCAGAAACCTCGGGCTGTTTTAGCCATCTTGTCGAGAGCGTTGCACAACGGCGTTCACCAAGACGATGCCCCTCGCCTCGCCTTATCGCATCCTCTGCGCTGAGCAGTTTGTCAAAGAGGTTAGGGCGTCTAAAAGAACTGAAACCATTGAGACAGACTCCTTTCTCAGAGGCACGCACACGAAGGGGAAGAATGAGTCAGTGTTGCGAGGGGAAACCTGATCTAACTGCTCTCTTCCCCTGTCTTCTTGGTTTCCTGATGTAACCGTCGTCTTCCTCACATTTCTAGGTCTGACGGCTGGAGCCTCGCTCTCTCGCACGCAATTGCCCCGTGAAGTTTTTGCCACTCATTCTCGTACTCTCGTGCTCTTTCTAGCGTTGATTCAGAACCTTTTTGAGCTGTGTGAGTCACCGCTCAGATAATAACTGATCTCTGTCCTCTGTTTGCTCCTCGGACGTTCCAGGGCCCTTCGGAGGAGGCCGAGGAGGGCCCCTCGTCATCTCAGGTGCCTGCTCAGGAGGAATCGGAGTAGATGGGATCCCTCTCTACCTACCTCAGTGTTTGGCCTCAAGCAAACAGGGGTACAATCTGACTCCCTATCTGTGATGGGAAATCAGGAACACACACACTTACACACACTCACACCCAAAAAAGAAAATCCTCGCAGACAGCAGTTTCCTCTCCTGATCTAAACAGCACCATGGCTTTGTTGTTGCTTTGAGTATATGATCGTTTGAGCCTTGGTAAAGGCATGGTTCCAGCTTTTGGGAAAAGCATTCGCAGAGTATTAAAATTTGTGTTTATATATAGACAGGAGGCAGAGAATAAAATAAAAACGTACGCTTCCTGTCTTGTGACAGCATGAATGTGCCTTTTAAAGTGATATAGCACAGGTTCTCCAAAACCCACCATAGTTATTGGTGAAAGAAATTCAACAATATTAAAGTAAAAAAAAAAAAAAAACAACTGTCACAACTCCAGAGCTTTAAAACATAAAAAATTTGATTTTGGGACTAAATATTTCAGCTATTTTCTTGCTTCTACGTCCATTTATAATTATCAACATACCTTAATTGACTGACATGTTCTCTTGTTTTTCTGCTTTGAATAGATGGCTAGAAGAAATGGGCGTCTTTAATGAAATACTAATTAAAATTAGTAATTAACATTCAGCTTAAAAAGTAAATCATTGAATAAAATTCTATTTGATAGCTTTCCACAGGGTTATTTTATTAAAAACAATTGTTTTCTACCGTGAGATGTATTTTTTTTTCCAGACAAAGTAAATATAGTCAAATTAAAAGTTGTATTTTTCTAAATTGTTTGAGATTATGAGATTATGCTTCTGCAATAAAAGATAGAGTTTAATTATTTATAAAGATGGAGGGCAGTGTGTATATAACGAGAGGTGCACTAATTAATCAATCAGAGATCAGAATCAGCCAATTTTCCTTTGATCGACTTCGATCAGATCAGAAGGCCTCATGAGATTTACTTTATCTACTATTCAGTCCTTTAGGTTTGACGCTTTAATGCTTTAAAGCTTGATTCCCTCATTCTTTGTTGGATTCAAAGCTGCAGCCTGTTTAAAAAAAAACTGCTTCACAAATGCAGTCAGTCAAAAATCTAAGAATTGATCGGTATCAGGAAAAGCCAGATGTGTGCATCTCTGACTATGAGCTCTATGTAAGATTTCTAGTAAATGTTTAAGTTCCTCCTGTGCCTTCTAGCTCTATATCAAGCTATCAGCTCAAAGGTATGGAATAATTAGTGGTTTAATACCCCACTAACTAAATGCACCCAATTTAACCTTTATGTCTCACATTTAAAAGAGAATTTAAAAATGTAATCGCCTGGATTGTAAATTTTTAAACCCATCTGAAGACCTGAGAGAATGCTTCTCCCTTAAAGTGGAACTGTCCCTTTATTTTGCCAGCTGTCCTGAGCCTCTCAGTGAGACTTTGTGCATGTGTGGAAACGCATGTCTGTATGTTTTGTGTTTGTACAGAGAGAGAGATGCGGAGAAAGACAAAAAGAAAGAGGCAGAATTTAAAAAAAAAAAAAGGACAAAAGGAACCAAACTGAACCGCGTTTCAGCTGTTTTAAACTTGATATTTTTAAACCAATGTAACAACACAATCATGGCAAGCTGGACTCATTTTTGTGAAAGCTGGTGTGATTTCAAATTGAAATATCCATTTTCAGAGATTACTTCTTAACCTCAGCTGAGTAAATCCTTCCAAGCAGAAAGTGACTGATTCAAATCCAAAGGTTGAAATGGATATTTCATTTTGGAACAAAAAAAGAAAAAACTAAAACAAAACCTTCATAAATACTTGAGTCGACCGCAGTGTTGACGTGTCATTTTTTTTTTTTACCACTCTCAGGATTTCACTTTTTTAACAGTGCTCTTCTCTTACGTCATTTATGAAAACCTCAGGTACATATCTATTCAGGAACATGATATCTACTCAGTAATAATTGTGGTGCTGTGTTTGTTGTGCGATTCTGATCTGTATTTGACATTACCAGTATGCCTTGACTCAAAGACCTCATGTAAAAACCTCAGTCAGCCTCAGCTTCTTGATCTCTCATTCTACCTCAGCGACACAAAAACACAGAAGATCCTCCTGCAAAGTTATCCTTCACTCCCTCAGAAGTGATACTGTATACGCAAACACACACACACACACACACACACACAAACACACACAAACACTCGCATGTGTACCAATGCAAATCAACAAGTTTCAGGGCTTAAATGCCAACAAATCAACAAATACACACAAGTAACAAGAGGATGTTACACTCCAGCGGAGGTGTACAGATAAAGTATCAATATCATTTCATAAAAATAACTGTATCTGATTAAAAAAAAAACAAAAAAAAAACTGAAACGAGACTCTGATCTCCTGGGAATTAAAGTGCAGCCAATAGTTTACAACAACTTGATGAAATACTTGCCTTTTAGAGTGTAGTACCTTATGAAAACCTGTATTTTTTTATTTTTATTTTTTTTTTTGTGGGACAGGGAGGGGATTGTTATTCTTTTTCTTATTTTTACTACATCATGTATTTTTTTCTCTGATTCTTACACTGTAAAATGTATGTGTGACACTTAATTCTCGGCAGCAAAATAGCCGCAACGTGCTGAAATACATTAGATGAACCTCAATGTTTGCATGTACTTGACCCAATTGTGCTACAATAACACGACACGATTGTACTGAACTGATAGTGTGTTTTATTGCTTATGAGTTCTTTTCTTTTTTTACTACTTCGAGGTGAAAACAGTTGGGTCTTATAGATTTTTCTTTTGCTTTAAAGGATAATATTTGCTTCTGAGCATACAGTGCCTTGCAAAACTCTTCATAAGGTTTTAAACTTATTCATACTTTGTTAAGTTTCAGTGTGTTTTATTTGGACTTTATGTTTTTGACCAACACAGTGAAGAGATTAGAAGATGAAGAATCACTTTTTACTGCTGCAGGCTTTTAAAGTATGTCTTTTTCCAGCTTTGCACGTTTTCTTTAACATTTAGTTCAAGACAAAGCTTCTCTGAACTTCGGTTTGGTACTTTTGCCACATCTCTCTCTGGATCTCTGCAGCTCCTGCTTTCCTCGTGGTGGTTTAGGCCATGTTTTGGTAGATTTGAAGTTGTGCCATACTCTATTTACAGATTATGAACTGAACTGATCTCTGTGGGAAGTTTACAGCTTGGGATGTTGTTTTATAACTTTACAGCTTCCCACTTCTCCACAGCTTTATTCCTGCAGTGTTCCTCGGTTTAATCCCTTTGGTTAGGTGGCTTCTCAAGGCAATTGGTTCCATCAGATCATCTGGGTTTAAATGCAGATTTGTATTTTAAATACATTTTAAAACATGCATCCATCCAGTTTATGCGTATGCATCGCTTCCAGTTGGTCTACTGCATAAAAAGCCCAGTACAATACGTTACCATTTCTGGTTGTAATATAACAAAATGTCTAAAAAGTTTAATAAGTTTCAATACTTTTGCAAGCCACTGTATTTAAGCATCAGTTAAGCACAGAGGATTTTATTAGTCGGGCATAAAACACTCATTAGTTTTCATTGAAGTGATTCAATGAAACCCCTTAACTAAGAGGTCTGCTGCTTTTTCCGGGTAAGACGTTTTGTTTCTGTTTACTTTCATGTTCACAATAAATAAAATGCAACTTTTTTAACGGTGTGTTCAGTGCTTCCAGAAATCCCAAGACATGAACGTTAAACCTGCATGTTTCCTGCAGGGGTGTTGATAATTTTTAGATCTTATATTGGTGAAGTTAGAAGAAACAAGAAGAATAGAAAAATATATAATTATAAAATTAGGCATATAATTACAGGAATTACCCCTATAGACAAAAAAAAATGGTTGATTCTTCGTTAATAAATCAACTTAAGAGCAAAACTCTCAGGTTTGTACCCTGGTCAAAGCTGAAAATATAACATTTTTGGTTATTATAGGGCAGAAAAGTCATTGATAATGTCACTTATTTTCCATACATAGGTATTTGATCTGGTTTTTATAACAAATCATAAATGTACACTGTATAATTACAGAGTTTTCTTGTTGCTGCCAGTTTCATTACCAGCCTCGTCTGGTTACACGTTGGTCAGCTCTGAGTGAGAGCAGAAACACTCACAACATGTTGATCTAGTCGTTAAGTCTCTTTGTTGCCCTCCATGGCAGACTAAATGCTCCTTCAGCTATGTGTGCCTCCAAATACCAAGTGGTCACTATAGATCCACATTACTACCACTGTTAATTATCATCAGATCATCCTAAACATGCTGTAAGGAGACGGTCCTGATATTTTATCGGGGTTCTGTTTGGAGTTTACTATCAGTCAGAGTCGTACCTGTTGCAGACTGTCTGAACTACTTGAGTTTGTAAAAGAAGAGATTAGAGCTGAGAACTTGTGAATTTAGTTATTTGCCTGTTTTTCATGTGAAATGTGTTAAAATAGCAAATCAGAGTCAACATCCAAATGTTGTAACCAGTCCTTCTGAGCTGCTGGTTTTCTACCTCCTTGAGATGTCTTCCTGGTTGAACACACTTGATTTAAATGAATGGGTCATGCTTTTATTTTGAAGGGTTTGATGACAGACTAAGGAAATACTCAACTGTCATCAGGTTGGAGCAGGAACCCATTTACAAAATGGAGCCCTTTTGAGAATTTAGTTCTAGTAAAAGCATAATTTGAAATTAAATTAACACTATTTGTAACGTTATCTTTAAGAAACTCTGAGCTACTAGCGTTTGCAACCTCACACGTGATAAAAAGTGTCTGAGATTTTAGTTCGCAGTTGTCTGACGTCTGAAATCTTCAGACAGCTCTCTGCTAACGATAAAATACTGATTGCTGATCCACAGAACCCTAGAACTGCGTCAGCAGCGGATAACAAACCTCCAAAAAGTAATTAATCTAAAAGTAGTTAATCTAAAATATCTGGACACCTTTTCTTGCTGGGATTTCTGTTCTTACACTGACATATCAAATTATTCCTCATAACATGAGAATTTTTACAGATTTTTAAAATTATTTTTGTAAAATCTCTCAAAAATGCATCAAACATGTCATTCTTGCATTGCTTATTACTTGAAAATCACCCATTTACTTTATATTCAAACACTTTTTTTTCTGTTTTTACTTATAGTACATCATTTATTTTATGTATTTCAGCACCGTTGCCTAAGCTGCTGCCACATTACCGATTTATTCAGCGTTGCATTGACTTTACTTATTTAGCCCTCCTGGACTACCTCTGAAGAGAACCAAGCCTGGGCCATTTTTTTAGGGATATATGGAGATATATGGAGACTTCTGGCCTTTTACGGCCCGAAGTCTCCATCAGACCTGCAGGCAGAGTGGATCATAAAATCTTGAAATAACCTTTGAATAGTACTGCAGTAGTCCACACACACATCTCATCTCACTATATTGATGTGACCAGAAGTGAATGAGAGTTAGCCTGAAAGGCGCCTCTTAATTTAACTCCAGCTAAGTCAGTGTGTTATTTTACACGAGCTGTGTTTGGATATTTACTCTTTCTGTAAGGGGACAATGTCGTTTTGTGATCTTACTGCTAGTGATATAGTTACATACAGTACTTGATCTAGTTTCAACTATTGAAAAGTTGAACTGTAACTTGAGAAATCATCTTTAATGCCTTACCTTTAACACAATGTAATAGTTATGTTATTGATATGTCCTCATCCACTTCTTTAATACAACTCACAGACCTGTGATATATATTTTGTTATGATTCTTTACGTTGTGATTTGTGTTACCTTGCTTCTATATCGCTTATCAATAAAAATATCACACTCTTCATTTGTTGCCATGGATTTGTGCTGTCTTTTTTTTTTTCTCCTCTGGATTTTTATTTTTAATGTGTACAGATGGAAATGATATTAATCCACAGTCTGTAAAGAAGACAAATAGGGAGGAAAACAGATTGAGGATGGCGACACATCCAGCATACGAGGCGTAAGACCACAAAATCACTAGAACAGATTCACAATTTCCTCGTATGAAACAGAAACATAGATGCAAGAAACTGACGAGCTATTAAATATTTCAACAATGACGGAGCATAGTTTTTAAAAAAACAAGGGTGCCACACTTAATTTGTGCCCCAGTGAATAATAATAATAATAGTGCAAGATCATTACTGACCCTTTGCATTGTTCTCAGAGTTTTTTCTTTGATACAACCACTTGACACGTTGTGAAGACAACATTTATCAGACCTCCAGCTTAAGTCTAGCTTCCCTTTGTTTTCCCCTCGTTAGTGACAGTCTGTGTCTGGGTATGTGGTCTGCAGCTCTCCTGCAGGCTGGGGCTGACCAGGCAGGGCAGAGGGGCCGTTAAGCATTGAGGGCTTTGGCAACATCTGTGAAGACCAGACGACTGGGTCGCTGCGTCGTCCCCTGGGAGGTTGTGAGAGTCTGCAGAGGAGAAAGTAGAGGAAGTTTGTAACGAGTCCACTGTAACTGCTGCTGTTTTGTCTAGAAATGGTGTCGATGCGGACAAAAGTGTAGGTTTTTATTTACACTGTAAAACATTTGAGACGGATTTAGTTGTGTCTACTGTCTGCTACTCTTTAAGCCAAATAAATTTAGTGAGTTTTAGATTTTAATCTGAATGTGAGTTTGTGAAAGATAAACTTACAACAGTAAGGTGTTAACTTCTTATTCATTTTGTCAAACCTCCAAAAGTTGAATAAGCTAGAGTTTTTAGGCTAGCACTTAAAAAAACTGCAGAAAAAGACAGGAGTGGGAACTATTTCCCAGAATGCTTAGCGGCGTGTTTTTGTATCTTGAGATGGAAGTGCGTTACATCGATCTGACTCTATTTGTTATTAATGCAAACGTTTATTTTAAAGCTTGAGGATAATGTCCTGTTTTAAACAATTCATTTCCATGTTTAATAAAATTCATTATCAGATCAGAAATTTTGTTCATGGAATTTGAAACTAGAATTTAAATTATTCTAAAGTGAAATAAGTAGTTATTTTAATTTGATACTGTGAATGAAAATAACAGAGAAATGTGACTCTTTCATTAGGAGAAAGCAGTTTTTTTCTTGCATATTATGAAATAATTATTTGGTTTAAATTGCAGCATTAAGTTAAAACTCACAATTCAAGATTAAAGAACTTAAAAACAATGTTTACACAACTCGTCTCTTTGTTAAATCAACTTCATGAACTTTAATTTCTGAGTTAAAACCAAAACAATTTTCTTGTTGACTTAAATTACATTTTCAAGTTAAACCACCTCCAAACGTTTTACAGTGTAACAATTATATGTAGAGAAAATACTTTTTACATGTTAAATGGTAATTAAAGCTCCTGCTCTAATCCTAACATTCAGATTTTGATCAGTTGTACAATTAACACCAGATGCCACAAACGTAAATGTAGGTAAATTTATTGTTATCCCTGATAAAGACGAGTAAAACTTAACCAACTTTTGTTACAGCAACAAAATCTTAATTTGAAAAGCTTGGAAAATACAACCTTGACTTTAATGTACATTTATTTACTTATCACTTTGGTAAATCAAATACTAATTCACATTAAGGCACATATTTACCTGGGGTACAAATAAATTTCTCCAGTAGTAATTAAACAGATGAATGAATTGAGGGCAGCTGAAAACCTCTGTAAGCAATGCTTAAATAACTTTTAAAATCAGATACTAATTTTTTTATGTGTCCAACTAATAAAAATATGTAGATTTTTTTTGTCTAAAACAAAAACTTACACCGGGTGATTTTACTTGTACTGCATGGTATATGTTAGTTTTCTTGTTAGTCCCACATTTTGCATCACAAGGCTCCATTTTAAAGGTCTTTGCTCAGTTTTGTGTGGCCTTCAGTAGCTACATCTTCTACGAATTCATGGATGAAGGATAAATAATGAAAGTCAGTGATAGATTATAAGGGTGCAGGTTCACAGAAAGAGACTTTAAGCAAAACTGTTTATTTTATGTCAATTAATTTTCTTTAGATTAGATTTTTAAAAATGTTTCACACGTTTTGCCTTCTTGCCGTTACTATGGATACTGAAACAGGGACAGCATGAGGGAAGAACAGTGAGGTTAGAAAAAAGGGGTTCAAAGGTCATACGGGTGATACTTTACCATGTTTGCCCTTTTGTCAAAACTTTAAACAGAAATAAAAAAAAAGGAAAAAATTAACACAAAGACAGAATAAATCATAATAACCTCATACTAACCAAATGAAAGTTTTATACACAAGTACACATTAACAACTAAAAAAGAAAACCAAAAAGATCACGAGGTTTAGTCATAATTATATGTAGCTTAGATTAGAAATGTGCTGATGTTTTCTCGGCGCCGTCCGGCCTACCTTGGCGTTTGGACCTGCGAGGCTGCCGTCCCGTCCGTGATCCAGTAGTTCCTGTTCCAGCAGGTCGTCCTGTTCTTCAGCCGGGTCAAAGTTGTACATGGGCATGAGCTGATGTCTCAGCTTCTCTAACCTGAAACACAGACAGAGTCTGGTTCTGCTGGAGGTTTCTTCCTGTGAGAAATGAGTTGTTCCTCCCCACTGTCACCTCGTGTTTCCTACAGGACAGCGAACGCATCCAAAAGGACGTTTGATTTCATAAATAGTTCTTGTTTTACAAACTGCTCTTGTTCTGGTTGGCGTTGGAAATTGTTTTAGTTGGACCGAGTTGGAGTATTGATGAATAGATGTGAACCTGATAGCATTTTTCATATTGCAATGTTGTGGGGGAAAATTAGGTGACCCTCTTTGTGTTCTTTCTAAAGGAATATTCACATCGACATCTTTTAAATCTGTCTATGAAACAGAAAAGGATTTAATTATAGGAAGACATTATAGAAATTAAGCTTGTTTTGCTCAGTTAAAAAATATTTGGTTTACGCTAAAACTCCTCTGTTCTGGTGTGAAATAATTCAATTTTAGGCTTAAATGTGCAAAGAACATCCTGACCCTTGTCTATACTCTCTCTGACAAACTTCTCTCTGGCCTTCATGCCTTTCTTAGAAAGCAGAAGTTTCCTCCTTTCTGGAAAGGTCAACTTTTTTTTCAACTTTTGTCTCTTTCTTTCACATATAATAGAATGGCTGTTTCTTTTTTTTTTAATCTTTTTCAGACTCAAAAGTTGCAAGTCTTTCTTCTGAAGGCCTCAGGCTTTCTTTGGATCTCACTGTGGTGTTCTGTCTTTCTTCAACAGTCAGCAGCGCATCAAATTAAATGTTTTAGCAGGGCGAACCTCCCTCAAAATGCCTCATAATGATGCTCTCAACATTAATATACATGTCTGGTCAATCAGCCATTTTTCTTAGAGGTTGCATAAAGATGATGCAAATTGCTAAGCTGATTTGCATGCAAACCCCACGGCCCCCACATTTGTTCATCTTAAGTTACATCTTTAGATGCAAATTATGCAACAAACTAAAAAAAAAAAAAAATTCCTCTAGCCTCTTGTAGGGAAAAATGTAAAAAAAAAAAAAATGTAAAGACTTACCGCTTCCGTTTCCGAATGTACAGCATCTGTATTAAAAAAGACATTAAAATATCTATTAACTAGATCATCAAAAGGAGTTAAGAGCAACGTAGGAGAATCTTGAATCAGTTCCTTACTATTGCCACCGCTAAGCCAATGAGGGTGATGATGCCGAAGGGCACCAGCAGCATTCCAACACCGGAGCCCTCAATCACCACGTCTGCAGCCGCGGTGGCGTTGAAGCTGCTCTCGTTTGTTGTTGCTGCTGTCGTTGTTAGGGTAACAGTCATAAATGTTCTTGAGGTGATGTTTTCTCTGGGTCCGAGGCTCGTTGAGAGCAACGGGTCCGTGGCGGTTGTTGTCGAGAGAAAACTTGACGCCGTCTTGGCAGTGTTCACAGCCATGGTCGGTTTCTCAAGCAAATTTTCTCAAACTTTTTCCCTTTATTTTGGTGTGGATGTTGACGTGTTGCTTAGTTTCTAACGTGCCTCATGGTCAATGCAGCCATCCTGCCATCGGTTTATTGTCTGCTGAGGCATTGATGGTTCTTCCTCCATATGAGCTGCAAAAGGAGACACAAGTAAAAGATGCCTTACATCTGTCTGTAGATATGCTTAAATCATTGTTTTTAGAAATCTAGATTTTTATTTAGCCCCTGGCTGTTAGTACCAGCAAGGTTGTGGCGGGTGTTTCTGTTTTTTTACTTCTTCTTTTTTTGTGGCAGGATGTGGGTAACAAACGTACAGGAGGAATCTGGTGTACATACTTCATAAAGTCAGAGGAATACTAACCACTCTAACTGTAACGTTCACCTCTAGGAAATGTGCTGGCAGCACTTTCAGACATCAAACTCAACTTACACCCACACACACACACACACACACACAGTGGCTCCATAAATATCCACTGCATGGCTTGAGCCCATGTTCCTCCCACCTACTTGTGTACTACACGCTTCCCATGAGAGCGAATAGCACTTTTCCCCCAAGATTTACACATATGAAGAGGTTCCTTTTTTAAAAGAGAATGCTTTTTATAGTGACACAGGAAGGCACAGACATATGATCCATTCCTCCCTCCTCATCCTGTCTGCTTTTGCTCTTAATGAGGAACATGTGCAACTGAAGCCAACCAATGAAAAACAAAGGCTGGTTTTAGTCGGCTGCTGTAGTTCAGTCTGCGTTGCCCTGCTCTGCACAAAAACAAACGCTCGCAGCTCTTTGCATGGGATCATGTCATGCTCCTCTTGATGTTATTTTTAGTTAAGATGTGCTGCATCTCGGCTGCTAATCCTGCCAACATGAGCAGGTCTTACCCTCAGATTAGATAGGCATACGTACCTCAACATACAACATGCATGTTAAGAGGTGAGCAGCAGCAGGACTGGGGCTACCTAACAGCAGGAAACATTCATAGGAAGAGGTAACATTTGCTCCAGTGTCTGTGCCGCCTCCTCCTCTTCTCCTTCCCCCTTCAGCAATGCAGGTACTGCACAGGCTGTTTACACTGACACAACAGCCATTTGCTCTAAGGATGAACTCCACAAATCAAAAGTAACCCTATCCTGGCTGCCACCCCCCAAGAGATTCCACCCTTCCAGTTCTTCGAGTTGCTTCCTTGGATTCACTGCCGCTGTCTTGCCCTTTTTCTTGTATTTCACACAACAGAGGCTGCTCTTGGGATGCTGCAAACAGAAGATCAGTGCTGTGAGCTCCCTCCCCCTTCACCCCGCAATTGGTCCGATGGTTTCAAGATGGTGAATGTGGTTGGCTGCGTCTGCTGCCCGTTTTGCTTTACAGGGATGAGAATGGGATTTAATGGCTGTGACCACCAGATGCTGTCAGAGCCATGTGAATGACTGCATCCGGGTGGTAGGTCTGAGGAAGTTAACCCTGTGATGGCTAACCCTCAATCCACTGACTTTACTCACACAAGCAGGAGATACAATACTGTTCAGGTTTTCTTTTCTTTTTTTTTTAATAGTCATAACTTTTTTTCAAAGTCATTTCTAGGCCAAATAGTGTGCTTAGCAACAACAAAAGGAGAGTATCAACCAAAATAAGTTTTCAGATTACGTGTAATTTGGCAGAAATCACAAACACAAATATGTAAAGTGAAGCAAAAAGTAGATACTAAAAAATGTGTTTTAATATTTTTTTTTATTTTCTTGTTTCTGAATTATAAAATTTATACGTGAAGTTTGTAAATCTTAACACGTTTTGCGAATGACAACAAAAACATAGTTGGGGAAAAATGGGTTTTTTGTGTACGCTCATCTCTGTCAAAAAATTGTGCTATAGACCATATAAACTTTAATCTAACAAAGTTAGCTTAGGATGTTTAATAAAAGCTTTTTTTATTATTATTATTATATGGACCCTGTGTGGAAAGTTAAAGTCCTTTTAGCCAAGAAAAGCATGCAGAAAATTTAACATTAGCTACAGCTCAGATTAAAAGCAAAGCAATTGTTTTTATGTCTAAACATAAAAATATATTTCATTATAAATATGAATGTAAATGTATGAGATCCATTTCTAAAATAAGGGATCTTTCCTAGTTTGGTTTGTGTTCATTAAATATTATAAAATACTTTAAATTAAATTAGAACACTAATTAGTACTGCCTAGCATTTAACTTGTGGCCCATTTGCTCAAAGACTTCCTTTAAGAAAGAGGCTAAAATAATGTATTTAACAAACAAGAATAGAAAAAAAACCTAAACTTTTAAATCTGTGCATGTACAGAATTTTTTCCCCATCAGGTAGCAGTGACACAAAAACAAATTGGTTTCAAATAGCTTACAGTACATTCAGTAGAAAGATATTTTTTTATTTTTGTGGTTTAAAGGAGAATAAATTTAAATGTAAGATTTTGTTTACAAAATTAAAATGATTAAATGAGAAATGGAAAAGCTGGATCGTTTTCTTTTTATTTTATTACCCTATTACCATGTGATAATCACTTCCCATTGTACATTTTTATGATCCACAAACCGATTTTCTTTTTTTTTCTTTTTTTTTTTTGCTGGGAATTTTATTTGAAGTATTTTTAACAGGAAAATACACAAAATCAAACAAATACACTTTTTACTCCTCCAATGTTGGTCACAAAAGTACAAAGACTGCATTACAGTTAAATATGCTGTTTTTAAAAACAAAAATTAAAACCTGTTGTTTTTCATGAGTGGTTTCTGATGAGGAAGATCCAATTGCCAAAACATGCTTGGAATTTATTCCAAATAAAAATATATCTGATATATCCTTAGTTCTGACACAAACCCAGAGAGTTAAATGATCTCAGACCTGAAATTTGATAAAAACCCACTGAAAATTTATGTTTTTATCAGTGTTTTAAATTTAACTTTGAAGAGCACAGAAGAAAAAGAAGATAATAAAACACTCTTAGGAACCTTGAGTTGTAGTTAGTTAGTATAAATCCTCGTTGGGATTAAATGTCGTTTCACGGTTGTCCAAAATGGGCAGCAGTACAGCAAATGTTACAATTAAACTACTTGTGCACACACAAAAAATGATTTCGACTCTTATGAAAATCAGTCAGGAAAGGATCTGCAGACATACTGTTCATGCCATTTACGATGCTGAGGTGTTATTTAAAAAGGTCAAAAAGACCCTATGTCAATTTTCAGATCATTCTGCACCAATTTATTGAAAGCAAAATGTTTAAAATTCTTGAAAAACATTTTAAAAATTATTCAGGATCATTTAATTGAAAAACTTTCTTTGTATTTTAGAAATGCAGAGCTATAGCATATTATGGGTTTCTGATTACTCTGTATGATGATGAATCTAGTGAGGTTACACCAAACATATAGAAGTGTAATGTCTACCCGTTTGTGTTGTGGGGGTTCAGCAAAACTGGAACAAATTTAGGGGGTGCATTGTTTACACAACATTAAAATATATTTAGGAATCCATGTAATTTTCTGTTGGTAATGCCAGCAACATGCAGAGAACTGAAAACGGCTGAGAATCATGGGCCACGCTGCATAGCATGAAGAATACACTGCTGTACAATGCATAGGTTATGGCCATGCATCACAGGTTCACAGTAGAACGTCCCACAATCGTTGCCAGTAAAAGGAGTTCATTGTTGCGTTCATATGGCGCAGTTAAACCGCTATAGATGTAAAAGAAACATAGATCCAGGACAACTGACGGCTTCTGTGGGCCAGAACGCTTTTAGCATGAACCGAGGTGAAATGAAGCGTCCTGTGGTGTGACAAATTAGATTTTAAATTTCTGCTGGATATGAAGGGCAAAGCACCCTGAGAGCAGAAGAAGCATGAGATCATCTGGTTTATGATCTGTACAGGGTAGAAGCAGCTAGAGTCTCTGATGTGAATGGATTAATGAAATAATAATAAAAAAACCCTGCAGATCTGCTTCATGTATGCTAACCTGTATTGATGTTTTCAATTTTAAAACTCGGTGGTTCTGTAGTGAAGGTGACTCGCCTGCATTTTGTTCTATGTAGAAGAATTAGCAATCAAAATTAGGCAGCGCAGTGGTCATGCCTTATCCTCCCAGCATGAAGTTCGAACCATAGCTGAACCTTTAACCAATAATGCCTGAAGGACTCTCAGAATGGATTTATCATATTCTCACAGTGCCTGCATTGGTGTTCACAACACTTGAACTTTCTCATGTTTTGTCATATTAGATTCACACTTAAATTATTATTATTATTATTATTATTATTATTATTATTATTATTATTATTATTATTATTATTATTATTTTAACCTTAATAGAACAACACAAGGTTATGCATAATTTTGTGTGTGGAAGCAGAGAGATGTTTTTTTTGGTACAAATGTAAAAAGTATGGCCTCCATATTTATTATTGCATGTCTCCTGCATCTTTATGTATCGAGGCTGAAATTTCTCCACAGTCTTCTCAGTAAAATAGATCAAGCTCAGTCAGATTTAATAGATAATATTCATAAAAATACATTTGTGAAGTCATGCCACAATCAATTTTATTTAGGTTAATCTGTTATTTAATCTGGTCATGATTTGAATAACACCATTCCTCTGTGATTCAGACTCATGGTTCGGCAGGAAGGTAGATTTTTGCCCCTTGTGGATTTTTTTACAGAACGGACTTTTATTTTGCTCCTTTAACATTCCTATAAACTCTACGGTCTTTCCTCTTCCTGCTGAAGTAAAGACTCCCCACAGCTTGCTTCCACTAACACCATGTTTCACAGTGCAGGCGATAGTTTGAGAGTTAAATGCAGTTTTTATTTTCTGCCATATGTGGAATTTTTCTACAGGTAAACACGATTCATTTTGATATCATCCGATCGCGGCACTCTCTGCTAGATGGCTGCAGAACAAGCTGCAAGTCTTATAATTTCATTTCAGCAATGCCTTTTACTTCTTGCTACTCTTTCATAAAGTCTAGATTTATAACTTATAGTTGACCAGTTGACATGTTACCTGAGCTGTGGATCTCTGCAGCTCCTCCAGAGAAATATTCAGCCTGTGTTTTTTAAACAACCAGTCACACGCTGGTTGTTCAAAGGTCATGAATGCTTTTGCCTGACACCGAACCAAGCCTTCCTTTCACCATTTAAATCAATGCATGTTTGGTTAATTCAATCAATTAAGTTTATTTGTTTTGCACATTTCAGCAACAAAGCAATTCAAAGTGCTTTATATCGTAAAAACTGCATTTCTAAATAGATACAAAACTGAGCAGACAGTTTGTTTTGTTTTGTTTTTCTGTGAATGCAGCCTGCTGCAGCCCGTCAGTATGAACGGGATTAGGTGAGGTTAGTATTTAGTCAGATTTTTAAGGATGACTCACAAGAATATAAGAAAGTACTTTACAAAACTTTCCTTTTCTTCCTATAGCTGCAGTCTTTCTCAAAGTAAAGGGGATGATACATGTTCCCCCTCTTTAAAAAAAACACATCCATTCATTCAATTAACCCTGCATATTTTTCAGGTTACGCCATGCTGCTTGTATGCACGTTTTTGCACAGCATCACAAGGTTTGTGAAACTGTGAACTGCAGCTCGCTCAATAAAAGGGACGCGCTTTTCAAATATTTACAGAGCGTCTCAGACACAATCTCAAATTGCAGTATCTCACGTTACACCAGTTCTTTCTTCTTCTGTGCTCACAGAGAAAAAGGAGGCACAAGACGAGCAGGAAAGCAAAAGGGGAAATAGGAAACAGGAAAGGAAATGGTATTGATATCCTCCAGCACTACAGATGAAATAACAAAAATACAGCTTAATTGCGCACATTTCTGAAAGGGAATGTCCATGAAAACTTTCAGCAGCCTGCTGAACTAAAAGTTTATATCACAGGCTGAAAGAAATGAGCATTTTACTGCTGTGATTCAAAATGAGATAATGTTCCTATGTACAAAACGTTATTGAATTGTTAATTATCACAGAAATGAAACAAAAAATACTGAAGTAGTAATTGCTTTAATCTGATTTCAGAATGTAGCAATGAGCCAGGAAATTTTAAAACAAAATCAATCTGGAATATTACATAAATATTTTTATTTTATTGTTATTAATTTAAAACATTTTAACAAAGACTTTTACATTGTGCTGAACTCCAGAACGTGTTTGTCTACAGTACATGAATATACTCTTCTAATACTCTTGGATTGATTTCTTGTGTACTCATGTGATCGGAACTTTTTTTTTCTTTTATTCAGCCTAATGGTTTGACTGTTACGAACCACTGCCACCTAGTGATTATGTGGCGTCACTGCAGCGGTACTGCAGTATTAGATAACATATTGTGTTTGTAAAATACAAAGCCTTTCTCTCACATACGCGACTTATATCTTTGATTTAGAAAACAGAAAAAATGATTATAGGAAAACTCTTAATTATTTTAGTTTCATGGGGTTATATGAATAATATGCAATATTATTAACATTTGTCTCAAATTGTTCAGAGCAACAAATACATTTTATTGCAGCATTTTGATTATTGATTTATAAAGACAATAAAATACACACCTGTAGATACAGTTCACATTGTAAACAAAGTTAGCTCCCAATTTAACATAGACTTACAGCATCATAACATGGTGTCAGAATAGTTTCTAGAAACTGAACCTATCAAGCTAAAAAACAAAAATTTTCAGAGAGACTTAATTGATTAAGGAAATGGACTGGAGTGATTTTCTAAGCAAACTGACCACTAAAAGCACTGAATGAGTGAATGAGCTACATTCACTCATTTACACACCAACATGCAACTTGGGTGTAAGTGCGTCACCCATGGACACATCAACATGTGATATAAAAAAGGTCCTCTGCCCACTGAGTCTAATCTAAACAAATGCAAGTTTAGTTTAAATCCAGACTTTGACTAGGCCACTCTAATATCTTGTTGTTGTTGTTTTTTTTTAGCTAATCAGGCATTACTTAGCTAGTGTGTTTTATATTGTGGTCTTGAAATTAAGATCATAAACTGATACATACATTCTCCTTCAGGATTTTCTGTCAAAAAACAGAATTCACGATTTCACCAGTAATGTCCAGACATCCAGCAGAAAACAAGCCTGTGTCTGACTGCTATGTAGCAATTTTCCTCAAATACTGTTAGTTTTATCCCACATATAATGCAATGCAGGCTTTTGTCTCACAGAATATTTTTCCAGAATGTGAAATGGACCTTTGATTTTTGTTGTTGTTTTGTTTTGTTTTTTTGTTTGTTCGTTTTGGTTTTTTATTTTTTTATTTTAATACTTTGTTCCACATCTGTTCTCAAATTTCCTTGGATCAGGGCACGAAGTGATGCTTTTTGAGCGCTTTTAGCCTGCTTCATGTATTCCAACAGGTTCAGCTGGATCTGAGAAACTGGTGTGACAAATGAGGGACAGGAAACCAAAAACATGAAACCTGCATTTATTTTACCAACAAAATGTCGTGTACTTTTGTGTCTCTGATCCATTTTTACCTCCTTATCCCTTTCAAAAACTGTTTTGATTTTTTGCGTATGACAGAATTTGACATTTACTTATGTCTTTAAATTAGCTCATTTAAATGTTGTAATACAATTTTACATCAACATTATTGGATGCCTTCATGTCAAAGATAATCCTAATCATTTGTGGGAGATGTAATTCTAAGACGTAACAGAGTTTTATGTTTTCATTGGTTGTTTATGCTGATTTTGAACCATGTAAGGTTTTTGGGCTTGAGCCTCCTTTTTAGGCAAAACTTTGTATTAAACTACTGAGGACAAACATTGATGGACCGCGCTGTAGCCATTAATTCGAGGATGTGGGTTAGCAGTGCATGTTAGTTGAGCCATTGTGGTGGAAATTAATGTGCAATTAGCGGGACTATCTCAGGCATTATACCATCTGAACCCACTTTGAGCCCTCGATATCTGCAGGACAGAGAGAAGGGAGAGGTTTTAATGAAAGAGGATGAGTGAAAAAGATGCATGGGATAAAATGTTGAATGGGTGAGGTGAAGGGTGGGAGAGTGAGACTGAGAGAAACAAAAGAATAATGATCAGCTAAATATATGTTGAATGGATACACTCAACAGAGGTCTCTGATTATCATCCTCTCATATATTTCGTTCTGCTGAATACCTTTCCTGCACCCTAACACAAGTTTCGTATTAAATTCATTCTAATCAGTTTAAAGTGCCTTTGTGTTTTTCTGAGTTATTTTTATTGCATGTGAGCTGACTGCATTGTTTGAAAAGAAAAATGGCTGTTAAGTCAGAAAATTTCTGCATAGTCACATTTTTTTTTTGCTTACTTCACAGACCAGCACTAATTAACTTTGTGAGATAGGAGGCATTTCTCTAATGGTCGAAAATGAAAGCTGATGTAATGATGTAGTCATACAAAATTGGACTTTAACTGAAGACACAGAAAAATATTAGCAGAAATGTATTTTATAGCTTGTGTGAAATCAAACTAATTTTAGTTTAGTTCCCGTCATAAGGTGGAGGCTGAAGAAAACCAATGGCAACTCCTGTTGCAATGAAAGACCAAATGATCATTAGATTATTTGAATGAAATGGGAAAAAAATATTACAATAAGCAGTACAATTCAGCACATGGATTGGTGAAATTACTTTTACTGGGTGAAACATATTAGTTCAATGTTGAAATTCCTCAGTAACGCTACATGAAGCAGACGGTGATTTTCTAAAGCACAAACACAGAGTTGAAGGTGAAAGAAGTTATATCAACAGTTTCCCTGTTGAAGACCAAAACAGCAAAAATGAGAATAAAAGACAGATCAAGCTGAGCAGTTTAGAAACAAATGTAAGAGGCGAGGCTGAGATAGCAGAGGGATGGCAGATATATAGGAAAATCCTGTTAGATGTCGAGATGGAGGAGAGGAAATGAGGAAGCACACAGAGAAGTTTAAGTGACGCTGTGAGGCAGAGTATGGAGAGAGCTGCTGTATGAGAGGAAGATGACAGGGATCGGGTGAGAAAGCCTCTGTAAAATGGCAGGGGTAGAGCAAAATGAAGAAATCCCAGCCTTATTTGTTTACAACCACTTCTGGAAAAGAAAATCTGCACATTCCCCAGCAACCAGGACAACAGTGGTGCAGTTATTTGACTTCTAAAACCATCCAGATGAAGTAGAAATTAATATTTCAATACCTAGCCACACTGTTTGGTCTGGAAATTCAACTTTAAATGCTTTGTTTTATTTGTTTTACAAGCAGAAATTAAATCTAAATATGCCCCACAAAATTTCTTTAACACAATTGTTTTTCAACGGCAACACCAATGGTGGATTTGATTTGTATAAGAAATTAGAGCCCAGATCTTGTAATAATGTCACGTCCAACTTAGGAGCATCTGTGTATATTTCTAATGTATTCTCTTCATTTCATTGTTTGACCTGTAGAGAACATAAACCAGCAGAAATGCTAATAAACAGTTTACCTCTGCAACTTTCACAACACCTTTTTTTGTACAGTGACAATGTTGAAACTATAAACTCTGGTGTGTTTGACAGTGTCCAACTTATCCGGTGAGAATTTGGTAGATCTTAAAATTGAAACTTTATTGTCTATTTTTAGTTTAACTTAACAATGGTGGTACTCGACTCTCCTCTAACACACACATAAATGTATTTATGACCCAAGTCATGCAGTTTTAAATACAGTTATCCCAGACAAGTGTTTACAAACATTTGAATTCAAGGGAAGCTACAATTTTTTTTGTAGCTTCCCTTGAATTCAAATGTTTGTAATTACAAAAAAATTACAAAAAATATTCTCACCAAGTTTTCTGGCACTTAGCAAATAGACATAGTTTTGGTAATTCTAACTAATCTAAATCAATAAATGTATGGTTTGATTTAACATTGAACAATGAGAAAAAAATCATTTGTGTATTTATATTCAGTATGTAAATATCATCTCTACATACCTTACTGTAAATATTAGTGTCATGTTTTATATTTCAAAAGTGTACAGCTTCATCTGGCTTGATTTGTTATTTTGTTATCAGGTTATTTATTTATGTCTTTTTTTTCATTCTAGTCTTTAAACTACAAAAATATCCACATAACTACTTTTGTCTGTCTGATATAGTTTGAAATATATCAGATAAACAATATGTTTTATATTGGAAAAGTGATATGTACGGTTTTTATGGCTTAATTTGTTATTTTGTAATCATGTTATTTATTTGTCTATTTTTTCAAACTACACGGATTTCCACATAACTTGTCTATATGATATATATATATTTTTTTTTTTAATTTTTAAAGTGATTTTACAATCAGCTTCTCTACTGTGTAGCCTTTTTTACTCTCACTTTAGTAATTTAATAGACGGCTACTTTTCACTTGTACTTGAGTAAACATATTGAAGTAGTGCTACTGTACCAAGTACATTGTTTGGATACTCAGCCCACCTCTGTTTCCTACTTTAGAAGTTTGACCGTTTTATTCAGGCTGGTTTGCGAGGGGGGGAGCTTAAAATGAACATCATGTTCTTTAAGCATCTAAGTGAAATATACATGTTGCAAATGAGATGTGTGAAAGACTGCTGAAAAGAAACAATTAGGAGTTGCGTCTTCAGTTCTCTAAAAAACACTCCAATCGAATCGAAGCTGCTTTTTCCATCGCTGCTGCTGCAACGTGGGGTTTCCCAGCGCCGACTGCAGGGTTACCGCGCCCATCTCATCGGTCGATGGCTGCTTGAGAGTCATACTACGGACAGGGCAGGTGTTGGGTTTTGCAAAGGTGAGAATCTAGACTCCCTTGTTGGTGAAGAATAGTGACTTTTAAAATTAGCTGGATTGACTGCCAGTGCACTGTCATCCACACAAGGCTTGTGGGTGTGATTTCCCCCACCCCCTCCCCTCTCCGCCTGGTTGTCAAGCTCCCCAGCCGTAGCCTGCGTTCGGGAAGGGCTGCTCCTCAGAAATCTACGCTAGCTGGCTTAGCTAGTTAGAAAGCTAGCACTGTGCTGTTCGTTGATGCGTGGATCGGAGGAATACGCCGTCTTGGTTTCCAGTCAATGCCAAAACGCAAAAACAGGCGCAGATTGAATCAGGTAAGGCAAAATCAAACTATTATATTGCGTTATCGCAATTTAACAGTTAAATGTTAATCCCATTAGCTGGTGAATTGTGGTATAATCGAACTGCCCGGGGGTGGGGTAGCAGCAGCTAGCTTCTTAGCCATCAGTTAGCATCGGTTTGCTAACGATAAGCTTATTTTATTATGAGCTGTTGCATGAGTGTTTGCCGTAAAGGTGGGGGTTAATCTCGGAACTTTGTGTCAGCAGCGGGTGGGTAGATAGTGGCAGCCATTTGTGTGTATTACATCCAGGCAATTACGAAACATTAACTACTCTTAATGTCGCCGAAAGGTTCTGGGATTCGTTAAAGCAGCGTTCTTGTTAGCCTTTCAAAACTGCTGTCAGTGAAGGCAATAATGGCCCAGTCAGGGGAGGTGCTTCTTGGCCTAAAATACGACTCTCAGAGCTACTGAGTCGCTGAAAATTTGAAAAAAAAAATTTTTTTTAAAATAACAATAATTAATATCGCGTGCTGTATATGTTGCATGCAAAGTGATTTGTATTCTAATCTTAAATGTAAAGATGTTGCTTTGGATTCAGGTTGACACATAGGGTTGGGCTGAATCAAACGTCCTGTAAACAAATTTGCCATCAGATGTTTGTAAATTACAATAACATCTAATCTACTAACATGGCTTAATTCTGTACCTTATCAGTATTAGCTTTCTTTAATTGTGCTTGTAAAAAGTCAGCACTTTAGGATAGAGGGAACATTAATGTGGGCGCGTTAACACCCTGTTTATGGAAGCCAATACGTTAGCTTACTTCGGCCCCAGAGGTGCACCGCCTTTCCTTGGAGACCATCTAAATTTCTACAACATATAATAGCAAATTTCGTTTACTTTTTTTGGGGGGGAAAAATAAAACACCCCGAGTGTTAATTACATTTATCTCACTGACACGATACAGGCCACCGACGCCCGACCTTGCTGTTTTTTTCCTACACTCTTGGGTTCTACTACAGGATTAAACAACCCCGTAAATATTCTGACACGGTGCAATTAAATTAGCCGGGGCCAGTAGCGTTTAAAGAGATTGGTCGTGTCCGAGTAAGTGGATTTCTCTGGGACGGTAAACAAGACACTTTCTAGGTTTATCCGGTGTTGGCTTAAAAGCTAACTACATAGCACTCCGTGTAATTGCGGAAGATCAGCGGAGTCCTCCCTGAAAGCGGCTGTGGTTTCGTTATTTTGCATTAGACAATGTAGCCGTTCGGTTTCCGTGGCGTAAATTTCTTAGAAACTTATGGTTGGACTACATTTCCGGTAAATCGTTGTTGACGCTTAAGTGAAATATAGGAATTTGAGCGTTTATGTGAGTTTTTCTTCCGAATATGAGCGTTGTCCTGCCTGTAGGCCTACACCGACAATCTGTTAGCAAAGCTAACTAGCAGACAGCAGTCTGCAAGATGGCGTTTAGCTGCATCTTCTCACATTTTCATTAGTGCATAGCATATTATCAACACATAGTGTGTTGCTAACTAAATTCATATATTTGATTGGACTTTGACAGCAATCTGATTCTTAGCCTCTTGACGCAATATTATGCGGAATTACTGACATGTTCTCACCTTACAAACAACATGAACAACAAACTAACTGAAAATCTTTCAGAGAGGCATTCAAATACAATGCAAAGCATTTGATTTGTTTGTAACAGTGTTGAAGGCAAATCACAGTGCTTACACAGAACTTCTTCCGTAGCTGTTTGCACACTGAATACAGTGTTGGTTCAACATGCACACTGCAAACACTTAGAGATTACCTGTCAGGTTTGTTAATGCAGTTTATTTTACAGCTGCCCTGTAAAATATTGCATAATTTGTTAACTTTTTATGTCCAAACTCATTGTTTAATTTTTAGTATTAAGTTTATGTATACCTTCTTTAATAATGCACATTTTCCCCTCTCTTTGTACAAGAACTGAAAGAGAATTTCTGCTTCAGGACAGTGACTTTAATTGCAGCCATTAATCTAGGCACTTTTTCAAACAAAGTGCCTGGATCTTTTTTTTTTTTCATGTGTTTATGAAAGAATTAAGATTAAACTCATCCTTTTATTAAGCTGAAAACATATTTCTAATGCCTGGACTGGCTTTACTACTATTTCTGTTAGCAGACATGGATTGGATTAGGGACTCATTGACTGAGGATTTCAGCTTTTAGGATTATGGAGTTGCTCAGTGATGTTGCTAGTTATGGTCTTTTCCATGATCCAGATTTAGATCTGTAAAACATTGCATTATCAGAACTCAGCCGTCTTTTGTAAGCAGATGTTTATATGTGCCCCTCTTTCCTCTAAGTGGGTTAAAATTGCAGCTTCACTTTCTAGAGTTGCAAACAAACACATCTCTTTAAGCCTTGCAGGACTTGGAAACAGCTAGTGAGCTGCCACTCCAGGCTGTTTGCTACTGCTCATTGTTTATCATGCAGTCAGCTGACCCTGATCAGGCGCTTGGAAAGGAGAAGTGATGAGAGAGAGGAACTCCGTAACTGTAGGCATCCACAGATCTTAATGGGAAATGTGCAGCTATTTCTGTTCTCGACGTGGGATATGTAAAATTTGGTTATGGCACAAAGGTGTTACACATCAAAATTCAAGTTGTGAATGCAAATTACATCTAGGTTAGAAAGAAATCTAAATAATTAAATGAGATTTGTAGGGGGGAAAAAAATGGCTGTAACACTTTAATGGGTACTGAAAGTGATTTGGACTGCTGCAGAAATAGTTAGTATCGCATCTGAGAGCAAAGTAATGTGGTTCTGAAACCCAAATTAAACAATATTCTCTAGATGCTTTCAGGCGCCTCAGATAAAACTGGAAATAGAGGGGTTTTATTGTTGTTTCTATATGCAATGTTCAGTAATAAAAATATTATATATTAGATTTAAAAACCATAAAAAAACTAATCAAAGATGAAAAGAAAAATGTAAATTAATTTAAAAATGTTAATTACTGTCAAAGTAGACATAAATAATTCACAGAAGATTAGGGCTATGTAATATTTTATGTATAAAAATATGGAATTGTGTTAATAATGTTGAGATTTGTTCATAGCAGGCTTAACAAACAAACTAGTGCAATACTACAAATTACACACCAATAAACAGAATCATCTGAAAATTGATCAAATCCGTTGAAAAAGTACAAAGAGGTTAAATCTGAGTTTAGATATTAACTTTAAATTCTGTTGTGACAAAGATTGCATTCTCCTGTCTCTGGATGCAACTAAATAATAACTATATTCCATGACACGTTTTATTACAAGATTAATGAGCGTAAGAGGATCATCTATGTTAGAAAGGTCAACCAATCAGCAAATCTGAAAGATGATGTAGACGAGTAGAGAAGATTGTCAAACACGTCCTGCAACCTCCAGTGACATTAGTGTACCGACTGAAAGACACCAGGTAAGGGAACTGAGAGGCAAACTCAGCTATTTACCGCTTATCTCACGCTGTCGTTATTTATAGTTTGTCTTGGGTGTGGCTATTAGTGAAGCTTTAATTGATTTAGATTTAGCTTCTGGATAGAATATAATTTGTACTTAAAGCTCATGTCAGGAGTATCTTTTTAAAGGTTATGCTTATTGTCTGTAGAAATCTAGTTTGCAGAAGAGATATTTAAAATAAGTAAATGTATTCCTGTTCATTCATAGATTTTAATGTTTCCCACTGTCAGAAAATCCATCAACTCTGGCAGAGGGCCACGAATGATGGTTTTAAATATTAATAATCACAAACAATGGAGTGTAATTATGTGTTCCCAGTTGTAGTCGTATTAATACAAGGATGTATTAAATTATAATTGCAATCTTTAAGTAATTTGTGACTACCTACAAATAAAATATACTGTTAGGGATTTGCGATTTTTTAAGTTTTTCTTGTCATACAATTTAATGAGCTGTTGCACAAGAATCATCTTAAACTAAATACTTTTGTTTTGCAAGCCAATTAATCTAATTGCGTTCTATACTTTTGATAAATGAGACATTAGTTGGTTTAGTGCGAGTATAAAAACTAGTTTTATGGCTTGAATTGAATATATTTACTTTATTAGCTGGACATTTAGACGTCCTCTTGGTGCTGTATTAATATAAGTGGCTTATTGATCACTTGGCGAAAATTCTGACTATCCCAGGGATTGAGGTCAACAGGATAATGACTGCTTTTCGGATCACAGGAAAGTCATGCCTTAACAGGATTTGTCTGCTGATCTGAATTGTGTGTCAGGACACATCGACATTGCAGCCGAATTATAAGGTTGAACAGGGAACTGTATGTTGCCCATTTTGTTCTCTCTGCTGGTTAAATTGCTTTTGGGCCATTACCATTTTGCATTTTAGATTTCTAAACTAACTTTAAATATAATGTTGCTCTTAAAAAAAAAAAAAAGATTGACCGTGTATGCTTACCTTTTTCTCTCCCCTTTTCTTTTTTGTCCCTTTTTAGATAAACAAGTGCCCTGATAGTTGGAGTAAGGTAATTAAAAAAGCAGGATAAGATGAGTGAACTGGACCAGTTACGCCAAGAGGCAGAGCAGCTCAAAAATCAGATAAGAGTAAGTAACAACATTAAGTTGTCCATATAGAAGTTGGCGCATGTGATGTATGCCAACGAGCTAAATTCTCTTTTTTTTCCCAGGATGCTAGAAAAGCATGTGCAGATGCCACACTATCACAGGTAATGTCTGACAGAGTGCTTTCAGAAAGATTCATTGTGAATACAGTAAAATTCAGTGGATTATTTTGAGCTTAACAAAAGTCTGTAACGTTCTGCAGATTACAGCTAATGTCGAAGCCGTTGGCCGAATCCAGATGCGTACAAGACGAACGCTGCGGGGTCATTTGGCCAAAATCTATGCCATGCACTGGGGGACAGACTCTAGGTACGTCAACGATATTTTCTAAACACGGATTTTTAGCTTAAATCCTTTTCCAGTTGTCTAATGTTGTTCCTGCTCCTGTTTTTAGGCTTTTGGTCAGCGCTTCTCAAGATGGAAAACTCATTATTTGGGATAGCTATACCACAAACAAGGTGAGTTTTATTTAAGGATACAGTAAAAATGAAATGTGCAGCAGTATGGATGCACAAATCAGTGATTTGTCTTTTTGCACAATTTAATATTTTTATTCCATAAATAAATATGTTCCTCTTTCAGAAGAAGAAAATTAGTTTGTTGGTGGTTCTTTGAACTGATCCAAGCAAAAACAGAATTATACCGCAACACCCATTTTTTTATGTGCTGAAGCCGATACTTTAGTTCTTAAAACAGAACTGATGAGTGGGTTTTAATTTCTGTTCTTTTTAGTACATTAAAATGCTTTTGAGGTAAACTCACAGCAAATGTGTTTTTTTTAATGTGTAATAAAATATTAGTTGTCCTTCTGGTGTTCACGCCAGTTTTCTCTAACCTGTACACTTTGCTTAAGCATAAAAAAGTGAGTTATTTACTGAAGGTGCAACAAGCAGTTTTGTTGCTGATGTCAAGTTTTGATCTGCTACTTTAAATTTATGTCTATGCCAGTTTTTTAAACAACTGTATTACAAGAACATGTTAACGCAGCATTCAGAGTATATTTCCTAGCCTTCCTGCTGATAGAAGTCATTAATTATTCACAATAGGAGGAAAAACAATGTCATGCAGTGAGTGTGAGATAGCAGTTGCTGTAAAAATAATCATTTTATAACAAAAGGCAGCAGGTTTGACAGTTTTAGGCTTTGCGTTAATGATTAGTATGGCCATCATTATTGAAACTTGCCCTTACCAAAGCTCTTTTCTAAAGATTTCCCAAAAAGCTGCAAATATTTCCAAATCCAAACAGGTCGAAAGCTTAAATTCTTAACCGTAGAATGACTTTCTGGTACTTTATTCAACCTTCCTGTTATCTGTTTTAAGTTTTGCTCTCTCACCCTGATTTAACCACAGACATGTCGCCTACAAGTCTTTGCTTTCTCTGATATCAAACATCACTTAGTCGGAGGCTTTGAATTTAAGTAACAGTTAA